CGATATAACTCAACATTTTTGTTCTAAACGACATAAAAAGAAAAAACACGTATTTCATTATTTGTCGTAAAGATTAACATACTAAAATTTGGAGAGTGGTTTTAAATGCTTCTTGTATACATTTTTATTTGTTACAATAATGTCAATTTGTTTAAAAACGCTATAAGTCCATTTTTGCAAATAGTTCACAAGATACTTGAAATAGTAGAATATGTAACAGTAAAATAATAGGACTTACGACGTCATGGTATAACCCATAGATAAACAATTGTATGAAAGGAAATTGAATAAATACATTTTAAATACCATTTATAACTTTCTATCTAATAAGCTATATTATATTGAAAATCAACAAATAGAACAGTAATATATGATCAAATATAGGTTGTTTTTTTGTTATTTTACATTTTGAATTGCAACATAATATTCGTTTGAAATAATATTGCAATTATATTTTTTGTTCTCTAATGCTCGTCTAGAAGGTCATAAAGAAAATATTCTTTACTACTTTATTTTAGGTTCGGATGAAATTTTTAATGAAATGAAATATATATTATCAACACATGAAATACAGGATTTAAACTTTTAAACTAGTCTAAACTGAAGTTAAGGAGCAGTGTCTTCACAACAATGAAATAAGTAAAGAAAAATAAAATATACTGAAAAACAACTTAACTGTTAAGTTCGTAAATTATTGAATTGCTGTGTCGTTATTACGTTAGCAATAAATACGTTGGGTTTAATAACGATATCAGTAAAGTTGATGCCCTAGCATCCAGTATGGCACTTTTAGGTCAATCCTAGAACAAAGACTGCAATATTTACACCAGATGTCAGTGATGTCAGATCTACTGATTTAGCAGTAGATCTACCTGATTTTTAAAAAATCTACTGATCTACTGCTGTTATTGTTATTATTTATGAAATCTACCTGCTTTTCCAAATCAGATCGGGTAGGTAGTTCTTTTTATTTTCTAGTCGTCGTGTCGTGTCGTGTGATCTGGCCTTTATGACATGATAAATATGCTGTGTAAAAGCAGCGTGAGTGAATGTGGTCCTCACTCGCTCGCAGTTTGGCGGTTTTTCGGCTCACTCACTCACTCACTCCCGCCCGCTCTTACTATCGGTCTGAGGTTTGGTTTGGTTTTGTCAACAGAACTGAGGTTAGTCAAAAGTGGAAAAAAGTTTGTTTTGTAACAAATATTATAAATTACTTACGGACGGAAGTTTTTCTTGTATTTGTCACAATTAAGGAACTTGTGTGTTTCGAGAGACACACGCTAGACTGGACTGCGTTAACAATATTGAGCATTTAGCAAGGTAATGTATTTTCTAGTTTGTTGGCATGAAATATTAAAGTGATGGTTTTATTGCATGGATTTAAAGCTCATTAAAATAATAATAGGCACATACTTACCTACAAATTCAAAGTTTAACAAACCAAACTAAAAAAAAATTGTAACTAGAGTTGCCGCGAATAGTTGTAATAGTGAATAGTCGAATACCGAGTAATCGCTATTCCCTATGGCGAATAGTCGGATAATACGCTATAATTATTCGACATTAACGAAGGACTATAAAAAATAGTTTATTTCTAATAGAATGTACGGTCAGCTCCATAAGTCGCTGAACAGTGAAGGAGCTAAGTGTACGATTTAACAATTTACAAGAATCACACGTTTCTATTTTCATTCATGTATTTTAGATTAAAAATTTAGAAATATTCATCGACTTTTGGAACTGACTGTGCCTATCACGCTTTTAGAATCTTTTATTATTTACCTAAGTTAATCTAATTATTTTTCTAAGGTTATGAGAAAAGAAAATGAAGTCTCACATTCTGATATTAGACTGATTTTAAATTTTTTAATGCTGGTAACTCTTGTTGTACGTTATATTCCTACTTTTTTTACGGGGAATACATCCTTTTGTGTAACCTAGCATTGAATACTTTAGGGGATTTCCCGCTCAACTGATTTCACTTGTGTTTGGGCTGGGTGGCCGCATGTAATTCTTGATGGATGAGCTTGCTTGACGTGACGTCGCGTCGGTCAGTGTTTTAATTATCGTATCGAGAACAAATGCTTAAATTAAAGACTGAATAGTTAAAGTGTAACTCAAAAAGCAAAACAATCATGCCAAATCCCGGGAAAAAATCTCATGTTTGGCGTTATTTTGAGAAGGAAAAAAACAGTGCGAAATATATTTTGTGTAGTGTTTTGTTTTTAAGAAAAAATAAAGTGATTATTTTGAAGCCTATAGTTTTTTTCATTTAAAGTTTGTTATAGACAACTATTCGCCGAATGTCGAATAATAGACATTATTATTCGGTATTCGACGAATAACAAAAAAAATGTCGAATAATGCCGATTACCGAACAATAGCGACTAATCGCGGCGCCTCTATTTAGAACCAGGTTTTAATTATATAAATTATAAACATAATAAAGTCAAACGCACACTTTAACTATAAACTGATGAGTGCATGTATTTTTTTGTTTTTTCCAGGTTTTTAAAAATAACATAACATTTCTAACTTCATTAACTTATTGTTTTGTGGTGTTACTAATGTTTTTATGCATGGTGTTTTTTTATTGTAACTTATAATCCACAATGAGTGCTGTTAAAAAAACGAAATACAGCCAAAAATTTAAAGACGAGTGGTTGGAATTGGTAGATTTTAAGAACTGGCTAACAAAAAGCAAAAATGGTGCGGGTTTTGGCTTTTGCAAAGCCTGCGGCTGCGATATAGCAATCTCAAATGGTGGGAAATATGATTTAACAAAACATAAAAATACAGCAAGACATATTTTAAAATGCTCAGCAATTAGAGGGCAAAGAAGTATTGCAGATGCCTTGCCATCCACATCAAAGGAATCTGAACTTGCCAAAAATATTAAAGAAGCCGAAATAAGGGTATCTTCATACATTGCTGAACATAATCTGCCATTTTTAGCTGTAGAACACCTCCCTAATTTGATCAGGGCAATATGCCCTGACTCCCAAATAGCAAAAGGCATTACTCTTGGTCGTACCAAAGCCACGAGTATTGTTAAAAATGTTTTAGGAGCTACTGAAAAAGAAGAACTTTGTTCCATTATGAAAACTCGCTCATTCTCCATTATTGTAGATGAATCAACTGATCAAGGCACTATAAAACTGCTATGTATTGTCGTTAGGACAATACAGAATGACCAAATAACAGACGCTTTTTTTGATTTGGTACCTGTTAATGATGCTACAGCCAGTGGTATCTATCAATCAATAATCGCCAGCCTTGATAGACACCAAATTCCTTGGCAAAAAAATTTAATTGGGTATGCTGCTGATGGTGCCAATGTTATGATGGGGGCACACCACTCGGTAAAGGTGCTGTTGAAAAATGACTTACCCAATCTTTATGTCATGAAATGCATCTGCCATTCTTTTGCTTTATGTGCCTCTTATGCTGCAGAAAAATTGCCACGGTTTGTGGAAGACTTGGTAAGAGGCATTTATAACTATATACAGACCAGTCCGAAACGTATTAAAGAATTTCAAGAATTTCAAACATTTCTAAATTTAAAACCACACAAAATTCTTCACCCCTGCCAAACTAGGTGGTTATCATTAGAAGCAGCAGTTTCCCGGATTCTTGAACAGTTTGAGGCTCTTAAGCTATATTTTATTGATGCTGTTACCACTGAGAGATTGACTGCCCCTCAAGATATCCTGGAAGGACTAAATAATCCTTTTACAAAACTGTATTTACAGTTTATGAGCTATGTGTTGCCAATTTTTAATAGACTCAATAAATTGATGCAATCGGAAAAAATCCAGGTACACAGCTTGAGAAAAAATGTTGAAGCCGTCGTAAGATCAATTCTTGCCAACTACATGCAAATGAATTATTTGAAAATAACTAACATAAAAGACATTGAATATAAAAATCCAAGATTCTATCTCCAAGTGGAAAATATATATTTGGGTGCAAACGTTGCGGCATCCCTACAGGTACAGGGGTTAAATTTACGGCCTAAAGATTTGCATCAGTTCAAATTAAAAATTTTGGAATTTTACATTGAGGGAGTCACTCAAATCTACAAAAGATTTTCTTTTAATGACCCAATTTTGGAAAATATCGAAATATTGGACCCACAAATCGTTAAGAGCAATAAATATGCGTCATTGGCTCCAATAGCTGCAAGATTCCCAAATCTAGTAGAAGAAAAAAAATTGCAGGCGCTAGACGATGATTGGAGACTACTTCAAAACACTGATATTGACTATGTAGGAAATGACCCCGAAGAGTTCTGGAGAATGGTATTTAAAAAAAAATATAGCGATGACACTGAAGCATTCCCCACATTAAACAAATTTGTGCAGGATTTAATGTCTTTGCCACATTCAAGTGCTACAGTTGAAAGGGTTTTTTCGCAAGTTAACGTAAATAAAACAAAACTGCGAAATAGGCTGCTTCCGAAAACTTTATGTGGCGTGTTGCATGCAAAAAATATATACAAAAAAGTCAACATGCTACTCCCATGACTGCAAGAAGTATTTGCCCAAATTTTTGAACAGCATGTATGACTCAGATTCAGAGTAAACAAGTAAGAACTTCGGCATGTTTTTTATTGTTGCATGATTGCATGAAAATATTTCACATGTTTTTTCCGAAACAGTGTTTGCAAGCTGCATTTATAACATTAATATGCACCTGCCTGCTTTAGCATTATGATACATAGATACATACAACATTTTTTAACACTGACAATGTGTTAAAGTGTTGATATAAACCAAGCAAAGAAGATACGTCAGCCATAAATGTGATCGAAACAATAAGAATTTGTCCCTATTTATAGCGTTATGTAATAGTTTTACTGATTGTTTCAGATCAGATGTGAAAATTATTTACACGAAATTAATAGCATATATATAGTAATTTAATAAGTATGAGTACGAATAAATAATAAAGCACATGAAGCATTGACTAGATTAACTTTGGTAAGTACAGTAGATAAATATTTACATGAATGTGTTCTGTGTACTTATAATTCGAGCCCAAATTCATTTTTAATCACGTAGGTATTACTTTTGTAATCTACTGATTTTTTCCGTGTTCTACTGCTAAATTTTTAACTTTTCTACTGAATTTTTCAGATTCCATCTGGCAACACTGCCAGATGTTGACAATTGACGATGACAGTTAACGTCAATTGTCAATTTTTGGAAAGTAGGAGTTACTTTTGTTATCTTATGATGTTTTTTGAGTTTTCTTGAAATAATTGCCACAAAAGTAGTCAATAATACCGCAATTTATTTGGCTTTTTCCTTATTTTATGTACAATAATTTACGACTGAGGAAACATCATGTATGCAATAGAGAAAAAATTTGATATAGAAATGAAACTACGGAAGGTAAAATCAGAACCAAAATTACATTTTGTTTTGTTAATTAAAAAGGATCTTCGTCTTTGAAAAATCGAAGGTGTCACACCTTTTCATAGTTTTAAAATATCAGTCTTCAGTTCATGTTTATTACGATATCTGACTTTTTAGGAGATGACGAATATCCAGGAGTTAAAAGCTGCAGCTAATCGCAGCTCAGCACTGGCTAGCGATGTTTGTAATGTGCTCGGTGCTTGTGAGCAAAGGCTACAGCAGCTGGAATCTGCTGTACTACCCCTTTATGGAGATACTGCTCGATTACAACATATACACCAGAGTATGTTGTTATTTTATTTCTGGTATAGCTTATGTATAATTTTGATGTGCCACTTCCACACTAATTAAAAGTAAAAGAATCTAATTTATAATTCAATTTACTTTCTTTTCTATAATCTAAGAAATGTAATGACATTTATATACATGAAGTTATCATCTGTTCTCAGTTATTCACAAAATTGAAGACTTAGTTTGGCAGTATTAAAACAGTCTAGTTTGTGCCATTACAAGGGTACTCTATTTATTAGAATCATATATGTTTAACTACCAATTAGAATTGCAACAAATGTTTAATGGGTGTCTTTAAACATCTTGTGTCATAAAGTTATATGAAATTTAATATATTACAAAAAGAAAATTGAATTCACAGTAGACTTTCGAAATTATGTTGAAATAAGTATAATTTGGAAAGTCTGCTTGTTCTTAAAAAGTCTAAAATAAGTAGATAGTTTTTATAGGCTGCTGATGTAGTCTAAAATTGATTATTTTCTTAGATATGGAAAGAACAGTGAAAGCTCTGGACCATGTGATCAATTTCTATATGGTGTCTAGAGAGCTGGCTGATTTGGTACAAGCTGGACCCCATACATCATCCACTGAGTCTCTGAATCTATATTTGGAAGTAAGTGACTCTATATTTTTGAGAGCATTGCTTTGGTTTAGAGATCAATAACTTAGTCATTACTTATTGAATACACAAATTTTTGAAAAAGAATTAAAAGAAATTTTAATACAGTTTCTGAGGAAAAATCATGAATGAATGAATGAATTATTCTTTATTGTACATACACCATACAGTCAAAAAATATACAGTTATAATCTAACAAGCAGTACAATCGGCGGCCTTATCGCTTAGACGCGATCTCTTCCAGGCAACAGACATTACAGAAAGGCATTACAGAAAGGGAAAAAAAAATTGGGTAGGTATATTGTAGGTAATTAAGATTCTTTTAGATGCCTATGGCGTTACTTTTATTACCTATGCCTACTTAATTACCTACAATATGATGGTACGAAAACTAATCCAAATTGCATTGCTTGTAGGATTAAAACAGTATTAACTGATACTTTATGTATTATTGTTTATTATGATAGAATTTTTGTCATCAATAGATATTATCCTATACTTATAATAAATGTGTAGAGAGGTCAATTCTGTACATGAAATATATTTCCAAAATAACTATCAGGGGGTGATTAGGGATCAATACTGATGCCAAAAATGCAATCAGTAAAATTTTTGTCTGTCTGTATAACCGTTATAGAAACAAAAACTACTCAACGGATTTTAACGAAACTTGGTACAATTATTTTTCATACTCCTGAGCTGGTTACAGTATTCTTTTCATCACGCTACAATCAATAGGAGCAGAGCAGTGAAGGGAAATGTTGGGAAAACGGGAGAAGTTACTCCATTTTTTAAGCTTCCGTCGCGTGTGCAACCTTATTGGTTAAAGCTACCCAGAAATCATGTATGACGGAAATGTTCTCCTTAAAATTATATAAAAAATATCCCACGACAGCATATGTCTATCTTTTATGGTTGAATAACAATAACATGTGTAACTCCCGATAGCTTAGCAGTTCGAAGCTTTCTGATTGTATTTGTCTATTCTCTACTCTTACGTTTATAACACTCTCAGTCATCCCTGATTAAAAAAGTTAAATCACGCCGAAACTACTGAACGGATTTTGATGAAATTTGGTATACAGATAGGGTATTAGCTGACTTAGATAATAGGATACTTTTTATCCCACTAAACATTTCCCTAGGGTCATGCGGGCGAAGTCGCTGGCGAAAGCTAGTACAACATAAGAGCAATCAGAACCGAATAGATAAAAATGCCACTTTTCTACTTAAGCCTAAAATAAGTTAGTGTATAAAAGTGCATTGTTCGAAAAAGTGCAATATAGAAATTTTAGGAGCTTAACTGCACATTTGGTCTGCAGTATAGGAAGTTTAGTTTAGTTTAGTTTAGGACTAATCATATAATGTATGACAAAAGAATTTATTATCATTTAAAATTTGGTACAGATATAGTGAAATGGGTGTAACTCGGTCGCGTAGTGAATAAGCGCCGCGACCCGCGATCGTAGTCGTTAAGCAACTTTCGCAAGGGTCGGTCACGGGATGGGTGACCAAAAAATTATTATCTCGAGCTACTCCGTACTTCGGAAGGCACGTTAAGCTGTTGGTCCCGGCTGCATTTGCAGTCGTTAATACCCTCCAACCCTCATTGGGCCAGCGTGGAGGGTCATGGCCCATCCCCCTTAACCATCCATAAGGAAGGCCTGAGCCCCTGCAGTGGGGACGTAAAAGGGCTGGTGATGATGATGATGATAGTGAAATGACAAAAATATTGAATCTGTCCACACCTGCTTCTTTGGGTTCTTAAAGATAGACACTTTTTATTTTAATAGTTTACAAATAATTTATTTTTGTCAAATACTCATAAATTATTTGATAGACTGCTTCAATGATAGCAGTTAAGTATGACTACTGGTAAATAAATTAATTTAAATTAAATTAGGCATTAATCATGACAGTCGCAAAGTATACCCTAGAAAGAACTTTATTTAACTTCCTATCTAATGCTATAATAAATGTAGTATAAGTGTATGAAAACAATGTTTGAATCAGTTCACTATGAAGTTCATCAATTACAGTTGTTTCTTTTAATTAAAAAAAAATTGTTTTTTTCTAGGCTTTAGACAAACTGGCAGAAGCGCAAGCATATTTTAATAAAAATAATCCACAGAGTGTTGAATTGGAAAATATAGTAAGTAATAATTTTTTTTATTGCAAAAACTTATTTTTTATGCAGGGTTTCTTATAAAAAAATGTACCTCCCTAGAGTGTGTACTTACATCATAAATAACATTTAATCTACATAACAAGATTAATTGCAACCCAGCACTTTGATTTGAACAAAATTGATTTATCAGTTTTTATTTTAAAAAAAATTAAATTTATATCAAAAAGTTTTAAGTTATAGAACAAACATCATACTATCTAGTCTATTCTTGTGAGATCTCAGTGTTCTAAGAGGACCCAGTATTTTATTATGAAATAATTTTATTTGCAATACTGTTAGAACCAACTGTACAACACTGGAGTATTGAAATTGGAAAGCGCATTCGAGGAGCTGCTGAGTCGCAATACTAGACCTCTGTCTCCGACTACTCTTATGGATATGATTGCATTAGAAGAGGGTAAGTTCCATGATTTATTTACTTTTACCTATCAGTGCTAACGATCGAGATTTTCGTGTAATTTAATCTGCAGTGGCATAGGTATAATAAAAAAAACTATAATAACTAAAAGGTCAGCAAAGGGCTAATGGGTAATAGACAGACGATACAGTATTATTTGGAGATGACACCTCTTTACTGTTTAAAGTTGAGAGGGGTAATGATTGTTTTGATGATGTAAATGATGCTCTCGACAATGTTCTACAGTGATTTCATAATAATAATTTTAAGCTCAATTCAAATAAAACGAAATGCATAAAGTTTGCATTACCTAATGTGAGGCATGTCAGTACACTTATAAATGTAAATAGTGAAAAAGTTGAGTTAGTAGAATCGACAAAGTTCCTTGGTATTACACTAGATTCCCGACTGCAATGAGATCCTCATATTGATAACTTGTCAAGTAGACTGAGTTCTGCAGCTTTTGCTGTTAAGAATATAAGACTCTTGACAAATGTTAAAACGGCAAGATTGGTATATTTTAGTTATTTTCATAGTGTAATGACGTATGGTATATTGTTGTGGGGTTCTGCGGCTAGCATTCAGGATATTTTTATTCTACAAAAGAGAGCTGTCCGTTATATATATAATTTAAGGTCTATCTATTCTATATATAATATAATTTTAGGAATCTCTCAGAGAAATATTTAAAGAAATAAATATTCTGACTGTTCCTCTTAATACATCTATGAGAATATTATGTACACAAGAAAACATTACGATTCCTTCACAAAAAAAAAGTAGTGTTTATAATCTTAACACAAGAAATAAAAATAAACTTGCCATTCCAAGCTTCAAACTTCAAAAAACCAGGGGATCATTTCTGGCTACATGTATTGCTATGTTCAATAAAGTTCCACAAAATGTAATTGATCTACCCATAAATAAATTTCAAATTCATGTAAAGAATATAGTTATGAGTAAAGGCTATTATATATAGTTATGAGTAAAGTTGATGTTTATTATAAGGACCGCAATGCATGGAATTAATAGCCTTCGCTCTGTTCTATAACGATTAATTATAGGTATGTACCAACCTATGTTTTACAGACTTTGAAATTTGTATTTATTATTGTTCAATATATGTATTATTTTGGTAATGACATGATTTATGTAAATGTCATTACTTATGATAAAACGCTGGTAAGTTTCTTTCGCTTGTTCTTGTGATCTAAAAGACGTCCTGAACAAGTGGTAGGGGAAAAATACTTTTGGACGATTCAAAAGTGCTTGTAACAAACTTACTTGATTAAAAACATTTTCATTTCATTTCATAACTAAATAACTAAAAGGTCAGCAAAGGGCTAATATTAATAATAAAACTTTATATTTTCCGCTACTTTGAATGAGCGTCATTCCCAAAAGATTCGAGTGCGGATTCGGTGAGCGTGAGCGCCCACGGCAGCGGGAGCGGCGTGGGGGCGGGGTCGGGGGTGGGGGCAGGGGCGGGGGCGGTGGAGACGCTGCGGGCGGCGGCTGCGTGGTTGAGCAACGCGGGCCGGCCGCCGCTGGCCGCGCTGGCGGAGATACGCGCGCCCGCCGCCCGCCAGTCCATGCAGGCCTTCCGCGACTACCTGCGCTCGCGCTCCATGGCCGCCTCGCCGCTGATGGTGAGATATATCGGTACCCATCAAAGGTGCTCTCCGGGAATGACACAGAAGATAATGTGCATAGAAGTAGCGAAACGGGCCCGCCCCACTCGACACGTTTTTACACAAATCTCGAGTAAAACTTCAGATTATGCTAGAGAGTGTGTACACTCGATTGTAAGCTTTAATGTAATGACGGTAAAATTAAAAATCGAGTGCGGCAATTTATCATATTGACGTGTTGCTGTGTGTACGTAGTTTATCAAATTAGGTACCTAGTCTGTCATATTTTCGAGGTGCCCTGAATTAGTCTTATGAAATTCGGTGAGCAGTTGCCAATTGTACTGTAGCATTGTCATAAATTCATTGTAAGTTGCAATTTTGTAATGTATTACTGTTGATGTATTTGGCGATCGCAAGCAATTAGGGTTGCGATCGCTTCTTGTCATCAGCTTTTTGAAAAAATATTTACTTATATATAGTTGGTATACCAGTAAGCAACTGTTTATTAATTTGAATCCGGCGAATTAAATTCTCAACTTATTGTATTAAAATAAAGTTGTCGTACTTTTATCATATACAGAGAGCGAAAAATATGCTGCATCGTTCCGATAGCACATCTAAGAAGACCAGTAAAATTCAAAAAGTGTAAGTGTGCATGAAGCTCGAAGGATCAATATCTTATTTGCCGCTAAGGAGCTTATTAATATTTTTTTTTTTTTTTTAGTTTTATTTTCAACCTAAAGTTAATTCATATTACAGTTTAGAGAAGCGTGCGAATAAAATAATGATGAAGGCGTCACAAACTCTGGAACAATCCACGGGATTGGCGATAGGACCCCGACGATCTGTCGTCGAGACTTGTAAGTATTTATTTCAATATTTATCGTACTCCTTAGTTAACACTACGGAGCATTTTAGTTTTAATCTCCTTCTATACGTTTAGAGTATCGCAATTTTAATTTCCGACGACAACTATTATATGTATAATAAATATTCCCCGGTCCCGGTCGGTCCAGATCCCGAGGAGAGCGGGGAGGCGGGCGACGAGGCCGAGGCGGAGGCGGCCGGGGCGCTCGCGTGCGCGCTGGTGAAGGTGGCGCGCCACGAGCAGCGCCACGCGCTGGGGCTAGTGCCGCTGCCGCGCCTGCCCGCGCTGCTGCAGCTGCTGCTGCGCGACTGCTGCGGCCTGCTCGCCGCCGACGTGGAGCGCGCCTGCACGCGCAGCCGCCGCGCCGCCGCGCGCTGCGGGCCCAGCGCGGGCTGCTGGGCGTTGCTGGCGCGCCTGCAGCGGCTGCTGCCCGACGTGGAGCGCGCCTTCGCGCCCGCGCCGCCCGCGCCCTACACCGCCGTGCTGCACGCCTGCACGCAGCACGTGAGTGCGCCCCTGGCCCGCTGCGGTATACATACGTGGTGACGAGCGATACAGTGACGTGTGCGTGTGTGCAGTGCCTGCGGGCGCTGGAGGAGTGGGTGGAGGGCGTGCGCGCGGACGGCGCGGCGGCGGCGGTGGACGGCACCGTGCACCAGTTGGCGGCCGCCGCGCTGGCGCACTGCCACGCGCTGGCGCTGCACGCGCACGTCATCGGTGCGTGTTGTTTGTCTTTGCCGGAACGAGAGAATCGAGTAAACAGGGTTGTTTGTAAAACACCAGCGACATAGTCGACATCCTAAAACACGATATTCGATTGACGATTGTTAAACCGACTAGATAATTTAAATAAATATTAATTTTCAACTTTTTATCTGTCTGTCTAAAAATAAAACGCAGTTTGAAGTATCTAGACGTCGGTGTTGCATAAAGAGATCCTACGTAGCTGTAGATTTAAATCCGAACAGTAAATTAAATACATTTTTTGCATAAGTAAAATGTTAAAGCTTTCCATGGGTCATAAAGGTTCTCTAGCCCCAGCTCGCCGATAGGTAGGAAAGCTTTCCAGAACCGTTCAGTGTGCATAGATATGGTTACGGCAGGTCCCGCGCTGGCCACAGAGCCGCAGTACGCGCGCGCGGCCGCGCAGGCGCCCGCCGCGCACGACCGCAACGCCGTGCTGCTCGCCGTGTACATGCGTGCGTATACCCACCATTATTGTAGGGGTGTACACTACTTATTTCTATATTTTTATTTTATAGATGTACATGAAATATATCAAAAAAATATATGTAAAAAAGTATCATTCATATATTAAATTAGGATCTAAAAATAAATTTAATTTTTCAAAATTTCCCGCAGAAACGCCAACTTCTGTCATGGCGTCGCTATGACGACACGCCCCTCGTAGTTCTATGTATAGTCCGATTTATCTAACTTGAGAAAACTAGTAGACGAATGTGGCGTCTTTGTAAAATTTGACGTTTGATAGGACTAGAAAACATTAAACAATGTAAAGAATGATCTACTGAATGTTTTGTTATTTGTATTTTTTTTCAGTCATATCACGTCACATCACATTCTCAGTCATATTTTTTGAAAAATTTATCAGACTTTTCGCATACTTTACAAGTTCCAGGTTTACCAGAATGAGGTGTTGATCGATTTTATTTTTGGCTTAAAATACCTAATTTTAAACAATATATTACTTTTGATCATTAATACTTCTTAAGCAGTGGCGCCAACGGCACTATTGCTTTTTGTTTTATAAAAAGAAAAACGGGTTTATCATAATAGATAATATTAAAATGTTAGATACGTATTTTCTTTTGTTTCAATTTAACAAGAAATAGCTTAGACAACAAGCATAATAATTGAGGAGTGGGGGCTCGCTACGTCACAGCTTTGTAGAAAGTGTTTAAAAGCGTGATGTCGCGTAACATTTATACTCAACTAGCAATCCGCCAGCGGCTTCGCCCGCGTGGTCTTGTATTATACATAAAAACCTTCCTTTTGAATCACCCTATCTATGAAAAAAAACCGCATCAAAATCCGTTGCGTAGTTTTATACTATGACTTTCTTTTATACTATGTAGTGATATATCAGCGTAATTTATTGATTACGTAAATAAATAAAAAGTACGTGTTAAATATTCTTCACTAATCTACTTGACGAATGTAAAAAAAGAATAGTTATCTGAAACAACAGTTAGTAATCACAAAAGAAAATACCAATATTACATAACAAAAAAGAATATCACGTAAAAAATAACTCTAAATATAGCAAAATTTAAAATAACAGTTTATTTCAAACCTACAAAAATTTCAAACCATTTGTAGCAGATGGACTGTAGGCTGGATTATCAAACGGGTAGGTAGCAGAGGTCGCAAATAAAACGCTTGGTTCGGAGAAAACACGGAGAACATTCAATGGCAGAATATGCTTTATTGCAAAAAAACCAATTACTTAAGTACATTTTGATTGCTCGCACTTATCTCATATATTAGTCAGTTATCTTATAAGATCGCGCAGAGTGGGGGTATGCTACCCCGCACCGCGCGGGGAGCGGAAGGTTTCGCTGTGGTCCCGCTGGTGGCGCTGTTGTCGAGACGCGGCTCGATGTCCTTTACACCATTCTTTTATTCATTTAACCGCTTTCCCTTTTAGGAAATGTTAAACTTACGCGTCATTTTATTGTGATGTTTTATTGACATTGTCATAATTACGATTTTGAATGAGAAATGTTATTGCTAAAGATGATTTCAAGCTATTTTCAGTGGATATGAATGTGTTAATGTATAAAGCAGTGTATGTAAGAGGTTATACGAGCTTAAATTGGTTGATTCCTTTGTCATGTCATGATTTGTGATTGACATTTGTTTATTTACGAGTTATCTCAAGTTAGAAAAAATGGACTATATGCTTATGGTTTACTTGTCTTAAGCTTGGATATGAGTAAGAGGGGCGTGACGTCACGCGCTGTTTAAGGTCACGTGACAATTAATATAAAATATTAGTTTTTTCATAATTAATTTAAGCAACATTATAGATAAAATTAAGAACCTTTTTTGAAGTTGGTTAATAATAAGCATAAGTGTGATTATCGGTTATACCAGAAAAAAATTTTTTTTTTTTCGTTTACCGTCTACACCCGTATAATATTTAATAATGAAAATTCGCAATTGGTATATTCAATTTCGATTATCCCACTCGTTCAGACATATACATAACTTTCACACATATCACAATATACTTGCTGACATATCCCAACACCGTATGGATTTCATAACACATTTTACTTGCTTACATGTTAAGTACATAAACATACACTATTTTGGTAACATGTTCCATAGTTTTCATAGTCAAGATGTGACCATTATATTTCAGTACTTCATCGTATTTGTGAATTCATGACACTAGAATACCTTTACTTCATATTATTTAATTCAGTCTATTGTTATCGTAAACAAGACTCATTATAAATTTCAATCGTTTTGTAAATTTTATTCACTCTTCATCTGTATTGGTAGAGCTGCTCTGCGCGAAAGCAAATTGAACATACGCCATATTAGTTGGAATTTAATGTAAGTTATATAATAAAGGTTTTAAATTAACAGGTAAAGTTTTGGCTCAACTGAATTTCACGCTACGTAACAAAAGTGAACAGTATCCGGACGCTTTAAAGGCTATATTCCTTCTCAACAATACGCATTATTTATTACAGGTAAGATATTTTTATTTTAAATATTTAAAGGCACTCTTTTACTGTAATCGACGATGTCAGGAGTATTCGTTCGTCGTATTGTGAATATTGTGCTTGATAAGCACAAGTAATTCACTGAATGCTTGTAACTATATATGTATAATAATGTCAAATATAATATCACAACGTCGACTTTTATCACTCCAAAACTAATTTAAATAAGTCCTCATACATACTTTAAATGGGTTGTATTAAGTCGTTTTAAATTACATGATTTTTGTTATTTTCATATACTTTTAAGAAAAATGTTACTTTCCATTATTTATATACGAAATTAAGCAAAGTTATTGTTCCTACTGCAAGCTCACAGGAGTAGTTCCCTATACTTAAAGTTCTCGATTAATGGCTGCAGAATCAGCTGGAGTATACGGTTTAAAGTGTCTTCTGAAGCATGAGCTCGATATAACAAATCTCTAGTGAATATTGTATTTATTTGTGTTCATATAGGGTCTGCAACGCAGTGGTTTGCTAGATGTATTGTCTCTGGCTGAGCCCGACTGTGAGGCTAACTATAGGAATCTCATCAACGAACATAAGAACGCATACCTTCAGAGGTGAGCAATAAATTACATGCATAATCTTTTAAAAATCTATTTATAAGGAGTATAACATTTCAAATTTTCGAAGCGGATTTTGATTTAAATTTTTTACATGTTACGATTAAAATGTGGTTTTACTGTTCTGGTGATGCACCCGGTTTATGAATTGAGAATTTCCAGTTAAGAACTACTTAAACGTCATGAACACGGGTTTTCATTTCTGATTTTAGTTTTTTTTTAATAGTAAAATTAGAACTTGACTTGTAAAACTTAGAAAAACTTGAGTTATTTTCAATAACTTAAGATTTTCATTTTTAATCATTAAAATCATTAACGTGTCTCCGTTTCTATATAATGATACTTTTAATTTAGCTGGAACAAGCTCCTGGCTCACACGGTATTGGAGGAGCCGCTTCCTCCTAAACTACGCGACAGGGACAGACAGATGCTCAAGGACAAGTTTACGGTGAGTTTGTATCTCAACTAGAAAAGTACACTTACTATTTGTACGGAGGATGGATGAACTGGTTACCGTCTGTTATATATAGTCTTTAAAATGTTAAATTATGGCAAAGCTGGACCGTTGATAACTGTGATGCGTTGGAGTTCACTTTCTTGTAACGATCGATAAGTACAGGCAACGGCACGTCAGACTACAGAAATCTGTCTAATATCTCAATTTGATTTATATCCCAACATCGAGGGTAGTCGTGAAAATTGATTGCGGAAATGTGGTAATCTGGACACTATTTTATTTTCATAAAGGAACCGCAATCAACTGAAAAAGTTCACACATAAGGGTGTGGATGTTTTTTTTAATTTTCCGGAGCTGTTTATTTATCTTTCAATGAAAGACAACTGCAGCTACCCTCCTGAATCTCAGCGCGCGACCGTCGGTATTCCTGTATCGAGTGTATGGAGTGTGTGGAGTGTATGCAGTGTATTGCAGGCGTTCAACCGCGAGTGGGAGGAGCTGAGCCGTTTGCAGCGCGGCTACAGCGTGCCGGACGCGGAGGTGCGCGAGCAGCTGAAGCGCGCCAACAAGCGCGCGCTGCTGCCGCCCTACGCCATATATAGACAGCGCGCTCGTTAGTGTATGCAGTGTATTGCAGGCGTTCAACCGCGAGTGGGAGGAGCTGAGCCGTTTGCAGCGCGGCTACAGCGTGCCGGACGCGGAGGTGCGCGAGCAGCTGAAGCGCGCCAACAAGCGCGCGCTGCTGCCGCCCTACGCCGCGCTGTGCGAGCGCGCCGCCGCCGCGCCCTTCAGCAAGAACCCCGACAAGTACATCAAGTACACGCCCGTGCAGGTGAGCGCCCCCCCTGTCTAGTGTTTAAGAGGCCGTCCATTTATCACGTGATGTTTTTTCAACATTTTTGATCCCCCCCCCCCTCGATGATACATATTGAGATTTAAAACCAACAAAAAATCTTAATTTTTGACGTCGCTTTTCGGTTTAATCATCGTGCGTCGGGGAATAAATAAATATACGTGGTATATTACTACACCCCCCACCCTCTTGTGATATTTCGGGATTTTTGACGAATCCCTCCCCCCTCCTTTCGAGCCTCACGTGATTAATGGACGGCTCCTTACGCCTTTAATTTTTTGGAAAGAAACGTATCCTTAAAGTCTAACGTTTCTGTCCTGAAATTGACTCGTCAAGTTTAAGTTGAAATCTTAATAAATATAAAAAAAGACATAATTATTTTCATAAACATAATAGCGGTTTGGATTCCTTGTTTTAGATCGCGGCGCAACTGGACGGATATTTCGATGAGGCCGCTTAGTAGTTGGTCCTAGTATATTACTATTCCTCCCTGTAGAGTGTACAACACGTAAAGACTGGCCGCCCTGTGTATCTAAATCGTCGAACGAAAAGTAAATGATTACATAAAATCTTAACCAATCTCTGTATCATACACAGAAGTATTGTTTGCGTCCTAAAAATCTACAGCGAAGCACAGCCAATATTGCTCCCCGGTGTAAATCTTAAACCTAGTTCGTTACATTTTACACCTTATGGCTTTTAAAACAAGACTCATTATACATTTTAATAATACTTTCGATCAACACCCGATTCATGGGGAGCAGTATTAGTTGGGTTAACTAGAAATACATATTTCTCAACTAATACGTATTATTAAAATACATTTTAAAAATACGCTAAATATTGCACATGCTACAATTAAAGGTTTAATTTTTAAGTATATAGTAAAAAATTTATGACTATCTTCTGAATCATAATATAACGAATACTTTTCCACCTCATATTTGGAAATCCATATTTTTCTATACTCAATGTAACATTTATTTAGTTATTGTAATTAATTAATATAATTTATTTAAACACATTTATAGTGTAATAATATAAATAATGTAAAATAAAACACCAATATTATAATAAATCATGTATTAAATCGCCTCAATTAGTATTCTTATTCTTTCTTCTTTTTCTCTTTGGCCACTGTAACAAAAACTTTCAGATAACAATAGTTTTTACTGTAGTGAAACAAACGGTGAACAAAAATTAAAGCCACTGGTGGTTGATTCGTGAAAAAAATACATTTAATTTTTTTAAAGTTAATTTTATGAGATTTAATATTCGCCCGTGTTGTTTTCAAAAATCTATAATTAAGACTGAATCTGATGTTTAGCGTAGGAGGGAAGCAAACCTTGGAGAGAGAGAAGGATAGAGAGAGAAGGAGAGAGAGGGGAAGGGAGAGAGAATGAGAGAGGGGGGAAGGGAGATAGAGAGGAGAGAGAGAGGGGGAAGGGAGAGAGAGAGGAAGGGAGAGAGAGAGAGGAAGGGAGAGAGAAGAGAAGGGAGAGAGGGAGATGAAGCGAGATAGGAAGAGAGAGAGAGAGAGAGAGAGGAAGGGAGAGAGAAAGACTCACTGTTCAAAGACTTAAGCTTAATTCAGCGTAATTTTAAATTAACCTAATGTGACTTTTATAGTGTTCTACTTGACGGTCTTAAAATTAAGTTAGGACAGAAGAGCAGCTTCAGTAACTTAGTCGTAATAAACCATAACTACACACAAAAGTTACATATTAAAATTGTAAACAGAATGACATTAACAATGCATTTTTTTACCGCACCAATGTTTAATGAAGGACTAAATTGTTACACATGCTCTTCGTATCGTCTAACTAGTCTGACGTTTTGCAAAACATATTTAATAACCAAATCATCCCTGCCTCGGGACCTGTTTTTAATCAAAATTAGACTACATTAATTTCATGCCCTTAACTCTTTTCTTTAATGACCACCACAGAACAATATTATAATATACAAATCTATTCTATATTTTGAAATTAAGATTACAGAGCACATGTTACAATTTATGTCATTTGCTTATCACTAGTTGAAAACTTTTACCAACAAATGTGCTTTGTAATTGTGTTTTTCTATGAAAAATTGCGCTTTCGTATTATTTCAAATGGGTATTGCATTTTTTTGTTCTGTCACCTTTTGGAGCTATAACAGCCTTGCTCAATATCAAATTAATAAAGCACGAGAAAGGAAATTCATTTATACATGAAAATTACAATCAAAGCACACAATCTTGGTCCTTGTATTTAGAGTATTATCTGATTCTCTAAATACAGTAAATACAGACAACCAGTATAAATACATGCCATTACAGTTGTTTCTGAAATTAGTATTTGTAGTTGTTGATATCGGTTCATTAGTTTCTGAGAATCGGTTCAGTAGTTTCCGTAAATCGGTTCAGTAGTTTCCGTAAATCGGTTCAGTAGTTTCCGAAAATCGGTTCAGTTGTTTTCGAAAATCGGTTCAGTTGTTTTCGAAAATCGGATTTCAATATTGATTTCTTATATTTTCACGCGCAGTGTCCATAAATGAAACAACTTTTAAACCCTTATCAGGTTCCATGTAAAGAATGTAAAGGGTCCGAAACGTCAATAAAACTAAATACAAACGCGATGAAACCGTTTTTAAAATTGTTTCATTTTCGGATCAATAGTCTCCCAAAATCGGAGTGCTAGTTTTTGAAAATCGACTTTGCACTTTCCGAGAATCAATTCGGCTAATTTAGAACAATTTCAGAAGTTTTTTTTTTCAAGATAATTTCCCCATAGGGTTCTCGAGTTCACCGTCACTGCCACTATAGGAACATTTGACAGAAAACGTCTTAAGACATTTCTGAAGTGGATTTTCTCAGAAACCGTTTTGCAGATTGAATCACAAAAGAAGACTATCAACAGTCGATGATCGACGAACGACACGACTGTTTCCGAAGCGATAGAACAACAAGCTACATAAAAAAAAGATTTGTTCCTTCCCGGTTTTCAATATTAATTAATCAGCTTGGACGTCCACATCGGTGCGGAAACAGATTTTGTTACCGGAGATAGTTATCTCTGTTATGTTCGATAAGACGCATTTGCGCAGAATGGCGTGGATACCTTACGGCGCGCGCCGCTCTGCCCCTCGTTCAGCTAACAACAAACACAGCCATTGTAAATCCATACCAACATCAAATGAATTAAAATCCAATTTCGTAACACGAAAAACATTGATTGAGACGAGGTGTCAACATATTGTGATTAAAAAACGTCCACAAAAAGATTATTATGGACACAAATATCTAGTGAATTGTGTAAACAATTTGAATATAATAAAACAAAACAATGAATATGTAAATGTTAATGAAATATTCGAGTTCTGTGATGTTTAAAAATACATTTAGATTTGCGGGTAATCAGATAACTTGTCGTAGACTTTTAGCGATGATAAAGCTGCCTTTTCAAAATGAATACTTTAGTAATATTAGTTTTGCTTATTATGACATGAATGTCCAAACACTTGTACGTTACAAAAACATCGATATAAAATTTTTACGTTTGTACTCGATATGTTCGATTCGGTTTATCGGTACTATTATTCGATACTTAACCCAGAGCTGCTTTGAATTTATTTCAAAGCGGTAATATTGAACCCCGTCTCTATCAAGCGTTGCATAATACGTAAATACTTTAGTGAATACTACCATGTACTAACTACATACAGATGTCGCTGTAAACGTCGAGAACTCGAGGCCGTGTTGCAGGCTGGGAACACTTCACTAACGATCAAACGTACGTGATATATACTAACGATTGAATATAAAAGTAGACTACAACGAATAAACCGAAAGTGAAAAGATATTAACATGAAGGATATTGGTTGATTAAACAACTTGAAGTTTAGATTTACTTAAGGTTTGTATCAGTGGATTATATAATTTTTGCTCCGCTATCATTGCTATGGTGAGATTAAAAATCAACTACTTAATGGGTGGTGCCAAGTTGCATTGATGCAGATGAACTATAAGCATTGTATTTTTTTAGTTTGGTGTATCGTGGAGCTGTATGATGTAGTGTAAAATGCTTCGATTAGTATGCAGAATTCGATTTAGTAAAGTTAAGTGTGGAGTATGATTTTATTGAGTATAGGGAAGGTAGTGCAGTAGGTAGAGTTTCATGTGGTAGTATATTAATGTTGAGTGCGATATATTGGTGTGGAGGAGTGTACCGCAGTTGTATTTTACCTTGATGGCTTGCGGTGGCGTCTTCTGTCTGGTGACGGGTCTCCGCGATTCCTTGGCGACTTGCCTCTCGTGGGGTGTGAACGCGCAAGGCAGGATTTTACGAAACCTGTAGGATGATACATGGAAAAAAGAGATTGCATTTTTTATTTGATTGCTGCGCGATGAAGCCTCCGTCTGTAAATTTATTGTACGTATACGAGCGGAGACTGAGCCACGTTAGGCTGAGGTAGAATCAAGCGAATAAACTTTATTTAATGTGAATTTGAACAGCGGTCGTACGTTCTACATGCGTGTATGAATGCAATTTACTCGTTAATTATGATCGCGAAAAAAGTTCAATGATCGATTACGAAAAAATATGTTCGGGAGGCTATCTTCCCATCCCCTCAATTTGTCCCGTTAACATGCAGAGGAAATGTATTTTAAGCGCGACTGTGTTGATAGTTGTACACAAAAACAGATTACAATCTCTAATTATTAGATGTCGAATTTCAACAGTTGACGGAGCGAACTAATAAAAAAAAAAACAAGCACAATTTACTTTGTAACAATGCGACAACAAATTAAACATAATCAAAAGTTATAACGAAATATTAGATATATTTATTATTAGTGAAATTATGTTTACTCGTGAAAATCATAATAGCGATTGCTATTTTAGCCAACCACAACAAGCGGCAACAAACCTAACGGTTCGATCGTTAATCAATACCAAAAAAATGATGTATGATCTCAACACAGACCGACTCAACGAGTGTACCCGTCGACTAGTGTTTTTTGTTAGCGGTACTGATTTTCGAACGCAACCAACATCATAAAAATGGCGGCCAGACGCATTAGCAATTTGCGGGGATTATACGACATGTTCGAAATCTAGTCAGTCGTATGGCAACGTTCGCTCGATGGAATAGCTGCGTCCGCGTCGTCGTATGCCATAGCGGCTGCACTAGTGGCGGTGACGTAGCAACATGGCGGCGTTACTTGTGCGCGGGCAGCAGCACGGGCGCGAGCGTGGGCGGGGCCCGCACGGCCGCCGCCTCGTCCGCCTCCGCCAGCTGCTGGCTGCAGAACTGCAGCTGCAGCGCCCCCGCCCCCGCCCCCGCCCCACCCGCGCGGTACAGCAGGGCGTTGCTGCCGTGACCCGGCTGAACGAGAACGAGAAACGTTTCACTGACCACGATCACGCAAACCGATCAATCACATCTGCCCTGCCATCTGAAACGATCCTCTGACGGTGTGGATCGACTGTTGGATGATATTAAACACGCTTTTATTTTTGGCGTATTCATAAGTTACGAGGGTAGATTGAGTTATTGAAACGTAGGGTAATTGAAAAGTAGCGAGCGAGGGAGGCCGGTTCTCTCTCTTATCTATACTATTTCTTGTTTTATTGAAGTAAAAAAAGTAAGTATGTAACATTTTTCTACTATCCGAGTGACGGAACTAAAGACAGGACTTTTTATTTTACCCAACCATCATCCCTATACTAAAAAAATATGTTTTTTTACCATTTCGCTTAAGCTTGTCGTGCCTGCTTCCCTTTCTCTCTACGTACCACTCGCGACTGCTTTAGAGACGTGACCGTAACCGTTATTAGACTGAATTTTCCATGTAATTGACCAAATTATATGTATGCAACATTCTTAATATATAATTCAGTACAATTATAGTACCAAGTGGTCGTGTTATCTGCCCTACACGATACCTGATGCATAAGTAGGTAGTGTCCGGGTACTAGTCCCTGCAGCTGATCGAGCGCGCTGTACAGTCGCCCGCACACGTCGCTGCGCACCTGCTCGTTATTATTCATTCCCGCGCCCTCCACCCGCACTATGTCGCCCGTCCCGCAGTCTATGCGGACTGGAACAGGATTGTTTAAATAGTAAAGAAACGACATAAAAAATACAAATGAACTTTCACGATTTTGTAAATAGAGGATTAAAATATCCCATTACACTCCTACGAGCTCGAACGAGTGGACTTTTTGCTGCGATAATGAAATTAATTCCCTTTGAAGCTAAAGGTTTTTTTTAAGATTTTGTGTCAGTTTTTTTCTTTTTTTATCAACCAAACGTGCATTCTGCAAAACCGCCGCTTTTAGTTAAGATATATCTTTTTTATGGTATTTATGAATAATGAATTCTATAGACAAGAAGTGATTGGTCACAGATAAAAAATTGAAGCTCTAGATAGAGTGCTGTTAGAGTACGCTTTGGTATATTATGATAACAGATTTTTTGAGCAACGTTAGTGAATAATAAATGTTAGCAATATACATACCGTTCAGTATGGAGGCATTCTTTCTAAGCATCATAGCGAGGGCCAAACTCCTCACGATATCTGGAGGCTGTTCGCTGCCACCCAAATCGATCTGATATTCAGGTATCGGTTCTAAGATCACCTCCTCTGAATGAATCTAAAAATTTTTATTAAAACAAGAAACTGAGGAATCGTCAATTAAGCAAGGTTCACGAAATATCACCACACAACAAGCAGAAGCGGGGCTGCGCCGAAATAATGTATTATTTTTTGACGGCGCTCTATTTTATCGGTTTCAACAAATTGCAGTAAATATTATCGAAGCGAACCGCAGGTTATCGATTTAGAATTCGACGTTCAATGTATTAAGGTTCAAAATCAAGTAGAGGAAGACAATTTTATACAATCTGACGTGTGCTCGTTGGCTGCATCTGTTGTCTATGCGCTATACTAATATTAAATAGAGGAAATAAATAGTCGTTCGTTTGCGGCACTTGAATAGGCTCCGAAGTTACTGGTCTATTTAAATAAAATCACTCACGGGAAGCTACATCATGCACAGGTTATAATGAAGTCGCGGGAAAATTGAAATATATGAGTGAAACTCACCCGCGCGCGGTGCGGGCAGTGCACGACGAGGTCGTGGCGGCCGCGCGCGAGGTCGCGCACGCGCCAGCGACGGTACGAGCGCGGCGTCGCGCTCTCGAATGCCGTGTCTGTATTGTGTGGACCAACACAATAGGGGTGTGGAAAACATTTTTTACATTTTTCTTTTATAGATAAAAATATACATAAAAAGTATTATCCATATAATAATACTCCATTCATTATAGCATTAGACAGAAGTAAAATCAGGTTCTTTTTATGATATACTTTGTGACAAAATATCAATAATCATATTACTCTTAAGACTGACGACAATATTGCTACATATTCACTTAAATACCAGCTGCTATACTTAACTGTTATCATTTAAGCTATCTATTAAACAAATTAATGAGTATTTGATTAACTTAAATGATTTAATAACTATTACAATAAAAAGTGTTCATCTTAAAGAACCTAAAGAAGCAGGGTTGGATTGTTTCGGCACGATTCTCATGTCACTATTATTCTACCAAATTTAAAACGTTGCCTAATCCCTTCAAACATTTCGGCAGTACAGTTTTTTTTAATTTTGTCAAACTATAATGTATTCATAATTGTCAAAATACGTAATCTGGGATTGTCATCCATTGTGAATGCTACTGCCTTTCTTGTTTTTTTACCGTTTTCCGTGATTAAGTTGTTATTGTTTTATTTTTGTTGTTAAGTTTTATTAAATAGGGACGATGCCGGTGCAGGCCCGAGTAGCCTACTACAATTACAATTTAATTAAAATTTAATTTGTTTATTATTCTTTACTGGGCATAGATATAACTAAATTCTATTCTAAATATAATCAAATCAACAGATAGGTAGTTTTAGTTCCATGTTGGCTTGGGAGTAAAAGATGAATTTAGAAAATGCTGACCTCATCTCAAACCTAAGGTATTGTAAAAATTAGAAAATTGCACCGCTCTTTCAGACTCCCTAATGTTCAAAGTTTCAACAAAACTATAATACATATTTTTAAAATTTGACTTGAAAATAAAATGTTCTGAACTGCTGCTTCTATGACCCTCTTTTTTCTAATGTTATAATGAATTGAGTATAGTACAAATCTAAAAATTAATATAATTATCAAAATTTGCCGCGAAAGCGTTAATTTCTGTCATGGCGTCGCTAACACGGCAACCTATTAAACTAATATGGGTCTATGAATGCATAAGATTTAATTCTCTTATGCCCGTTTTCACTAACATAGGTCATCTAGAAATCACTTAATGAGAATAGCGTAAGCAGATTTGACATTTCTTCAAACTGTAACGCTGGGTAATGCGTTACTAAGCACTTGTTTAGATAGGCAGTGTTTGTCTATGATTGTACACGGTATAGTTGTTCTTTTTTTTAATGTATGACCTACTTGCGTTTACACAATTCCGTCAGTGGCACGTTAGTGACCTTTACATGTAGAATCAATAACAAAAATATATATTTTGAGCTCATAAAACAACATAAATTATAGATGGTCTTGTATTTACACGCACCCAAATGGCCATTGTCCATATACTTAGTGTAGCCATAAGTTCTGTTACAAAGAAAATATCCGATAATTTCTAGAAAAATAATTTTACTTTAAAGCTTTATATGGGAATATGTAGAGAAAAAGATATGTTAACGTACCTACTAAACAAGTTATTCAAAGTGTCCACCCTTAGCTTTAACGCACGCTTTTAAACGGTCAGGCCATTCGTCGAGGGAAACTTGGTAGCTTAGAGCAGGCCATTTCCTCTAGCACAGACCACAATTTATAGGCCAAAGGGCTTAAGTCCGGACTAGCTGAAGGCCAATCATCAACCTTTATGAAGCTTGGAACATTTTGCTTAAGTCAAATTTGTGTAGTGCGCGCCTTATGACCCGGGGCTGAATCCTGTTGGAATGTCCACACTTCGTTTTTAAATTAGGTGTTGTTGAGAGGTTTAACTACCGTTTCTAACACGGTATCTTGATACACTTTGGTTGAAGTTTTCACTCCTTTTTCGCAAAAATGGACTTTTGTATCCCTAGGTAAGAGACACCCCACCCAACCCTTAAATATGCTGGGCGATGGCCTCCCTGAATTTTGGCTACTATCTCGAAAGCTTCTTTAGAGCTGCATATACTCGATTGTTTGTTGTAGTGATCCTCGATTGTAAAAAAAAATTCATTGGTAAAAATAATTTCTCTGTGTTTTTCGTCCGCGTATCGAAGTAACAGCTGTTTCGATCTTTCCACTATCTTTTGTTTTAGTGCCTGATTTAAGGTATGTCCTGTGCATTTCCGGTAAGCCAAAGTCTTGTTTGATAATCTGAGAAAGTGTCCTCGGTGGGATTCTCATTTCTCTGGAAACGATTTTCTGTTTCCTTATGGGATTTCGACGATTTCTGGCCTTGACTGCATTAACGGCCTGGTTTGTTCGGATCTCTCACGGTCATCAACAGATTACCTTTGGAGCTTTGGATAGTACGATACACAAATGTTCGGCTAATCCCAAGCTGTAATGTATCAAAAATGTCAGCTGGCTCCTTACCTACTTTGTACCGTGCAATTATTGCAATCCTATTCTTTTTAGTGTCCCACTCCATTTCAAAACAAAAAACATACAATAATCGCGACAAAGTCAATTTTTTTATCGTAGAAGCTAATGTTCGAAATTCAAATTAATGTTTTTTTTAACGTATGTAAACAGCCAGTAACAGAATTTATGGCTAGACTAGGTATAAAAAGTCCGAAAATTAAAAAAATCTCATTGTTTATATCTTAATACTAATATATAAACTCCTTGCTTCTAACTTAATAAATTGATTTTATCCCTTGACACATCCGTTAAGGCCAAAGAGTAAATGTATCTGTCACATTATGCAAATGCCCAGCGCTTAGCGCTGAATAATGTTAATTTTAAGCGTTACTTAAAATCGTTAGGTGTTTTTGTTGTCATTGTTGAAAGGCATTTTCACCTTAGACAATGCCCAAATTTGGGCGACTTCTAAGTGTAATGAAAACGGATATAAGTTTTGATATGTGTAAGAGGGGCGGGATGTCACGCGCTGTTTGCGTTCATGTGAGAACGAGTATAAAATGTTTGATTTTTGAAAGTGTGATTTGCGGTAATCGTAGAACACACTACCAGAAGAAATATATATTTATTTTCGTTGACTATCTACACCCATAACTGGAACAATGGACATAACATGAGGGCCTATTTTATTGTGATCAAACGAAAACTAGGAATATTTCCAATCGTTCTTATAATATTGTATATCCGTGTAGATTATCTGCGTATCAGAGGCAAGTTCAGGTCCTACCTTCGTTGCATTATAAGTTATCAGAAAAAGCGATTACCATTCCGAACAGAGAAGAATACTTCGTTTTTGGTGTCATGGTAATGCGTACGAGTATTACCTATCATTTTAAAACGGCTATTGTACACTGTCATTTGGAATCCTTAGGAAATATTAATTTGCAATATGGACGGAAATTACAGTTATTTTATTGAAAATTATCAACAATTGCCGCCATACTTTAAACAGTTCGATGATGGCGCTAGGGTGCAGTTTGTATTTATAAGGTATTCAGAAGGACAAAGGAAGTACCTACTATTTGTACGGGTCGCTTCAAGTGAATGCTTCCTAAACTTTTGACGTGCCTATACGCAACCTGCAAACTACACGCACTACGCGAAATCTCTATCCTTGAGATAATGTACAGTTTATTCGAAAAGTCCTATTATATCAATATAGAAGAATTTAAATGCAATAGTCACAAACAAGGTGTATGATGTACCTTTACATGTGCAGTTATAGAAGCCAATTTTGTTTGTAGACTCATTGGACGAATTATGTGCTTCTTTTGCTATTCTGTCACTCCTCCGTGGACTCTTATATTCCTCCAATGGTGTGTCCTCGTCTGTGGTTTCCATTTGGTTATTATCAACCATATCTAAAATAAACAAATACGGGTCAACAATATATACATCACAGATCCAATGATAACCAGAACTTAGAAGACAATTTATTTACATTGGGATTACTTCTGATAATTCATGCTTTATCAAATACAAGTTTTCAACTTCATTGTATTGATTTTGGGCCGTTAATCACGTGAGGCTCAAAAGGAGGAGGGGGTTCGTCAAAAATCACGAAGGGGGAGGTGGGGTGTAGTAATATATAACGTGTATTTATTTTTACCTCAAACTCGCGATTACTAAACCGAAAAGCGGCGTCAAAAATTTAGATTTTTTTGGAGGTACTAAATAATACACGTGCTTAGGGTGTAAGGATTAGTCTTAAAGCCTCACCATGTATCACTAAAGGGGGAGAGGGGGTTAAAAAACATCACGTGATTAATGGACGGCACCTTTATGAATCATATATTGTTTAACATAGATTCAATGTAACCGAATGTACTTGAGAAATTCAACTGTTTCGCTAAGTTTGCGTGTATAGTCTATTCTTCTTCCTCTGAGACAAAATGTAAACAAACTGGAAAAAGGTTCTTTAATATGTCAAAATATAAATGCATTTAGAATTAATTAAAAAAGAAAGTGACATTAAAAATACTTAAAATTGAAGCTGTTCCCAAACATTGGACGTATTATAATACTACTAAATTGAGGAGTAGTGATAAGACAAATACTTTACGTAGAAACGTGAAATTTTGTAATTGGTCGGGTTATACCGGCCATTTTTACTCTCGATCAACTCGTTGACTCGTGCAAAATGCTTTCGTTACATTCTTGTTATTTGTTTATTCCAGTTGTTAAGTTTGTTGTTTTCTGTTATTGCTAAGTTTTAAGTTAAATGAAATAAAATCTATTTTAACCGATGCTCTAAAAAGGGTAACAGTAGGAACTGTGCTAAAGTGCATTGACCATGTCATAAAAGAAGAACAACATTTTTAAAAAATTAATGGTATCATAGATGATTTGGTTGACCGTTTTGTGATAGAAGTTGGTGCGACTAGTTCCTCAGTGACTATTACACAGTGATTATATGTGACTCTTACAATTGCTATTTGTAAAAGAAATAGACTTATTGTATTGCATACCTACCATACAATAATTAACAAATTTTATTTACATACCAACATCAATAAAAAAGTTTGAGAAACATTGGTTTGTTTGTTTACATTTTGTCTCAGAGGAAGTTGAATAGACTATAGTTCCGAGTTATTTGAATAATCTATATGAGTCTCACAGGGTTTCTTCGAAAAAAGGCCTTATCACACTACGAATAAAACTGAATATGTATTAATAACAGATGGTCAGACGAAATCCTGAAAAAGGAACCACAACAAGTTTATTCAAATAAACACAGCCAATTTTTATGTGCCATACCCGTGTCTATAATCAGATGGTCCTCTTCGTCACTCTCGTCGATTTCCTGTTTCTTATTGCCACTATCGGTTTCGTTGGCCTTCTTGGTCATTGCGTAGTGTTTGTTATTCGGTAGATCAGCTTCAGTCGGTCTAGAAAATTAATTATTTATTTGCGCGTAAATAGAAATGAATATAATAAGAAAAAAAAGAAAGCACGTCTTTAGACGGCGACTCTACCAAATGTTGATATTTGCAGAAAACGAATGGAATAAATATAGTCAAAGAACAAGCGTATTTGAAAAAAAAAAAATTGTTTCGGTTCTGTTTCTTTTTTTCCAAGTATTTTCAATAGTTTGTTGAACATAAGAAGAACATAGCATATCGTTTTTATGACAACATAGGTTTTTAATTAGAAAAGTAACTAATATTGTATACATAGTTTGAATACATACGAAACGAGCGTGTATTGTAGCAGTCGCCTGAAAGCCTTGTAGGTTCTCATCTGTGCGGACTCCTTGTGTATGGAGAACTCGCTGCCGAGCACGACCACGTTGCTACTGTCGCCCTCTGAACACGGAACATAACTTTCATTCTCTAAATGTAGCAAATCAGAGTACGAGTCACTCGCCTACATTAAACTCGTTTCTTCTGAAATGCTTTATATTCATTAATTTACTTATTCATGTGTCATCCTACTTTTTTAGTCTTAATGTATAATGTGAATAATAATTATATAAAATTGTACATTATTTAGAAAAAACTATGTTATCATATTTTCCAATCTTATATAAATAGATATATACCAGCATTTACAGCGGAGCAGACAGACACAGGTAGCATCCATTGTCTGGCATCTTGCATCAGACAGCGGAGAGCGCTCTCACTCGCTATAGTAGTGGCTCCCTTATCAAATGCAAACTGAGCCAGTTCTCGGTGTATTTCTGTCAGAGGTAGTATCGTCATTGTACTCTCAGCTGCAATATAACATTCCAAGATTAATATTTTTAAACAGTACATTCTAAATAGTCTAAATTACATGCACTATTAGACCAATAAAATAAAAATACAACTCAATTTTAATACTTACATGGCAATATAAAACGGCACAGATGTTTATTACAAGGCTCTGGAATTGGGCACGGTTTCATGATTGTTATTCTCTTAGTCATATCTGGATATTCAATTTGAGGTAACGATGAAACATTCACCTGCAGTCATAAGAGAAAAGGAAAGTATGAATACTATGATGTATAATATTAACTATCCAATGTTACCCTAATAAAATACTATTTCTTCATAAAAATAAAAAAAAGAAGTTACCAGTCTACCAAATATCAATAAAAATTTGTTCAATTTCATTAGAACTGTACACAATAATTGTCTACAATGATAAATATTGTAATGGCAGTATTATTTCAACTTACTTTTATAATGTGCTCTTGATGTACCATATCACATTTAGAATTTGGGGTTTGCAATGGTATTTGTGCAGCTAATGCATAATTCTTTGGAAAACTTTGAAGAGAATTGGCGCGGACTTTAAACTCTGCTTCATAAACCATTTCTATGGGTGGCTTTGGTCTTAATGCACGAGCGCAATGGCTACTTGTCCACAAAGATTTAGCCCAGTTAATAAATTCTTGCTGTTCCTTCTCATACACTGCTTTGACTTCCTATAATCAAAAAAGATAAACATTAATATATAATTATTATAATTTAGAGCTATTTATCTAGATAGCCATCTATCTAGTAAAAAAATAATTTTAGGGCACTTTGTGGTGTAAATATTTTTGGCATGTTCACAAGAAATTTAGATACATATACTTTAAAGTTAAAAAACTATAATAACTATTCACTTGGCTATGACTATGTGTCAATTTAAATTAAATCTTAGACATTGAGATCCATACTATGAACACTGTCAATATGTTGACAGTTGTGAAAGTAATTGATCTAAGCAATATTTTTTTCAAGTGGATTTGTTGGATTGATAGCTCTTGTAGTAAAAAAGAACATTCAAGGACAGCATATTAGTTTAAGATGTGTTAAATACTTTAAATAAATGTATATTATCTTTAAGTTATATCATTATTGTATCTCTCTGTGTGTGTGGTCAATAAAAGTATTTTCTTTCTTTCAAATACTATAATGAGGAATCAAACTTACCTCAAATATTCTGTGGTCCTGTTTGGTGGGCCTAGGAATGAATTCATGAGGTAACACATCGGGGCATTGTGAACAAAGTACTTTGAGACACTGGTAGTGTTGCTGCCCTGTTAGGGCTGACAGTTTCGGGAATGGTGGTACAGCATGAATTCCTTGTACAACATTCTGGAATCTTTTATCCTAAAAATATTGTGATAAAATTTTCAGTTTGTTGGATTTTATTTTTCTATAATAATAAAATGTGAGGTAGCCTATTTTTTTAGGACTATAGATATATTATGTCAACAATATGTGTTCAGAGTGATGTAAAGTTATACATTTCCTAAGCTTACATTTTTTTTCTTACTGAATATTTCATCCCAATTAAGGGTTTCTTTTGGTTTCCCTTCATCCTCAGATTCACTATCTATTAGAGGATCGTGGAACTGGTTTCTCAGAATCTTCTCTGTAACACAATTATCGATATCGTTCTCAGCTACAAAGTAAATATCTGGCTCGGTGCTACACCTGGAAAACAGCAAAATGTATTTTATTTAGTAAGTACTTCACCAAACGTAAGGAATAAAGTAATTTGTATTTTACCAGTCATATTGTCTTATATGGTCCATTGTCAACACAATTATTTTTTTACTTGATAATATTGTAGGTTGGTCACATAAATTTATATTTTCTTAGCGTAAGACGAATGTAACACACAATACATTTATTTTTCTATTTCGCGTCAAAAATCAAGTTATACCATATAATACAAAATTGAAAATACGAAAAATCTTTGCTGCGAAAAATTTTACTGTAAAATGCAAAAATATTTTTAAATTATTTGAAACAAAAATAAAACTAAACTACCATCAATTCACTTTTAGAACTTTTGACATTGACTTTTAGGTTATTGTTTTTCTTGAAAGCATCGGAATTTAAGTTATACAGACTAAAGCTGAGAATGCCCTGTTTTTTAATACAAGCGTGAAAATGCAAAAAAGCAAGCTTACACCACATAATATATATTTCGTGTAATATACGAGGCAAGTTTGTGATAATGTCGCCACATTATTGTTATGTTAAATATAAAGTTTCAAGTTTGCGACAATATTTTTTGTTATGACAAAGATACTTATTTGTAACACAATCATCATCTTTATAGGTGCCCGAATAGTTCTAAGTCTGCAAACTGGATGGAGCTGTTCATTTAATGCATCGCGGTATCAGATTATATTGTTAGATTTTATAAGTAATATGCCGTTTAGTGTTATCCGCTCGTTGCTGTCCCCGCCTCGTCCGCTCTGGCAAACCGTTCCCCTTCAGGAAGTCAGCTGTATTTCATTCCGATGAGCCGAGCACCTCGGGATTAACGGCTAACATCTTGATGTCACAATTCATGTAGGTGAATAGTGACGTCTGCGTCGCCGCCCCCCCTTGCGGGTCGCTACGGTCGAAGGTTCGTTGCCCCTTCAGGGCACGCAACCAACTGTCCAAGGTGGTGTTTAGTCAGTAGAAGTCTGACATGACCACACAGCCGGCTGTGTGGTATCCAATGAAGGGTCCACCGCCTCCTGCCCCCATTGGGAGGGGGTGGTTCCGAAATGTTATCTTAATATGGGATTCGAAACCAAGCATTCCATTTAATCACTTTGGCTCCCAGGTCAGGGTCTGTGCTGTGGTTAAGTTAAAAGTCGCAATCTTTTGGTCCAAAAGACCAAAAAAAAAGATCTTTTGGACCAAAAGATTAATAAAAACTTAGTAAACAAACTTAAAGAAATATTTACCTCGAAACCTTTATTCCAGGTTTTCGAGTACCTGCCAGGTATTCGAGTCAGTACTACCTAGAAAAAATATCATTACTACTACGGTAGTACTAGTAATAATAATTTTCCCAGGTACATTTGCACTACCTTTAATACGTCAAAGGTAGTGCAAGTTTGTCAAACTGAAACTAAAAAGTTTGATTTAAACTTGCTGCAAGTTGCTGCAGTTGTAATGGCAAACTTGAATCAAATCTTCTTTTTTTGTTGTATCAAACTTGTTGCAAGTCAGAAACAAGTTTAAATTGCTATCTGGGATCAGATCTTATCAAATGTAAACAAACAGCCTCCACGCCCACTTCTGAAATGGCGCCTCCCCTAACTTCCGTATGAATTTGAACATCTGTATCTATCAAATGGGGATTGTTATGCGGCTGCTGATGTAGTGCAGGTGCACAACAAGAAAGAAATTGGATTTTTGTTTAGGTTTTCATATAGTATATCAGGACTCTTCATCCCGATGGCACCTCAGCCTTCGAGGACGATGAAAAGGCGAAGTGCTTCGGTGACAGCGTGGCCACGCAATGCTCAATCAGCTCCAAGGAGTGTGACCAAGCTCACATACAGGCGGTAGAGGAGGAGTTATCAGCAATGAACTTCCTCCCTCTACCCCCGCCCTCTGACCCCCCCATAACGACCCCTCACCCGTTTCTTCTGATGAGATTAAAGATCTCATCAAAAAATCTCAAACCCAAAAAGTCCCCAGGTGCCGATGGCATCTCTAATATGGCCCTGAAGTTCTTCTCTTCAGTGGTCATCACTCTCATTTTCAATGCCTGTTTCGATCTCTGCTACTTTCCAACCGCGTGGAAGGATGCAAACGTAATAGGCATCCCTAAGCCGGGGAAACCCTCCAACCTCCCTTGTAGCCACCGCCCCATCAGCCTCCTAAAGGCCTTAGGGAAACTCTTGGAAAGGTGTATACTCTCCCGCATGAGGGAACACCTTTTCGATTCCGAACTGGATTTCATGATCCCCCACCAATTCGGCTTTAGAGCCAAACACTCCTGTCCCAAACAGGTTCACCGCATAGTGGAGTACATCTTCAGCGGTTTCTTCCCTCGCAAACAAAAGAGTAGCAGTCCTTTTCGATGTTGCCAAAGCTTTCGATAAGGTTTGGCACTCAGCCCTCGTCGTCAAGCTAGACAAACTGAACCTATCCTTACGACTGGTTCGTCTGGTAGCTTCCTTCCTAGAACACCGCACCTTTCGTTTCAGACACGAAGGTACCGTCTCTTCCCCCGCGCGATCACCGCGGGGCTCCCGCAAGGCTCAGTACTTGCGTCCCTCCTGTACATAGTGTACATCAACGACATACCCATTCCCCTTAAAGAGCTGTCAAGGGAGCTGTCCGCGCTATATATAATTTACGGTCTAGGGAATTTCTCAGAGAAATATTTAAAGAAATACATATTTTGACTGTTGCCTCTCAATACATTTATGAAAACATTACAATTTACATTATTTAACAATATTTTTTATATTTCAACACAACGTATATTGTTAAAATGAAATGAAATAAATAATTACTTCACAAAAAATAGTGTTCATAATTTTAACACAAGAAATAAAAGTACTTGCCGTTCCAAGCTTCAGACTTCAGAAAACCAGAGGATCATTTCCGGGTAAATGCATTGCTATGTTCTATAAAGTTCCATAAAATGTAATTGACCTACCCATAAATAAGTTTAAAATACATGTAAAGAACATACTTATGAGTAAAGGCGTATTATAAAGTTGATGATTATTTAAAGACCGCAATTCCATGCATTAATAGCCTTCGCTTTGGTCTATAGCGAGTAATTATATGTACCAACCTATGTCATACAGACTTTGAAAATTGTTTTTATTTTGTTATCATACGTACTATTATGTAAATGTCATTACTTAATAAAGAGCCGGTAAGTTTCTTTCGCTTATTCTTCTTGTCAGTTAAAAGAAGAACAAATGATCAGAAAAAAAAAGTTTTTTTGGACGATTCTAAAGTGCTTTAAACAAGCTTATTGGAATTTTCATTTCATATTTCATAGTACAATAAAATAAGTTAGCTGTTAGTAAGATTTTCACAGTCTAGGATGGGAAAATATTCTTAAATATACATAAAGTGTTTGTGCATAATTTATTATACGTAAATAAATATGCGGGTGAGCGAGACCGTCTCACACCAACAGCAGCGGATTTACATAAATAAAAACTGTTAGGTTTTTTACGGGATCTAGATGATTTTTTAACGTATCCATTCATACTTCCTTACTCTTACTTGCGGACAAGCGGTAAGGGGTACAAATTGCTTCCCGAGTACTTATGTTACTTGATTTTTTAAGTATGTTATAAAACATATGAACGTATTGACGTAATATATGTTAGTTCTCAGCAGTCTGTTGAAAAATGAATAATATAAAAATATAGATTCCTTCAATTTCGAACAGTTCGGTGGAAACGTAATCTCGCATCGTCCATTTTTGTTTTACGCAATCCCCGTGTCAGTTGCGAAACGCAAAGCAAAGATTACGTCGCGGCGTGTCAGAGCCCACCTGTCCCAGGTTGGGGCTGACAGCTTTTTTATTGGATCCCTGCTTTCCTATTCAATAAGTTTTGGGTTTGCATTACGCAGTTAACTGGGCCGTGAAATGTTTCGCCTGAATATAATAGCGCGTGATGTCGGCTCAATTACAAAGTTAGCTGCGATGGAATCTGATTACAATATTTGGACATACAAAACGAATACATATTTATTTTATTGAAAACTTAAATTCCTTAGACGATAAAACACGGTAACTCAGTGGTTCTCAGAAGTTGTTGCAAAAGTCAGCTCCAAGGTGTTCTAGCTCCTGACCTCCGTACAGAGTACTGAGTGATGTACGCACTTGGTACTTCAACATACTGAAACATTAGAACTCTCCGTCTAATCGATGAAAATATGCTTACAAGCAGCGATAGCAACAAGATATTTTAGAAATATTTCGTAGTCGCCCTTTTAGTAATAAAAAAAAGTCACAGGTTTGAATCTCAAATTTACGATTTAAGTCTGTCGATTTTTTAAGTATTTATCTATAAGGTAAATATCAATACAGTATAAATATGTGTACATGCGATTGAATGATTTTCCATTTGAATAATTATAATAAAAGGAACTTAAACGAATAAAGAAAAAATTTTACCTTCCATATACTTTTATATGAGAAAAATATTTTAATATCTAATATAACACAGAATTACATTTAATGAGCCATATAAAGTCCAACAAACAGGATAGTTTCTCACCACGGGAGCCATTTAATTCCGTCACGTACCCGAACAATGTGAGAGACATTAAAGAAAGAGTCCCAAATTAAAGGATAATGGAGTGGTCCTTAATTATTAATTAATTATCGAACGCGTCCGGAGCAGTCGGGTACAATGGCCCTCTTCGTCACGAGTGCTCATTGTTCCACTTCGGAGATAGCGTATTGCTCTGTCCTTATGTGAATCTTAAACGTGATGGATTGTTCATTGTTTATTGGAGCTTTTCCGCCATTTCATTTACGAATATAATAAAGTACCTACTTATATGAAAGCTAAAAATTGTACAGCTAAATTTCTTTTGTCTGTAACGTATGGTAACAAATAAAATTTGTAATATTAAAATAACCGTGTTTCACTAAATACATATGTATGTATACACGGTACATATACAAAAATATCATTTTTTCTGTCTTTCTGTCTCTCCGATTTTGACAGGACTTTTACGGGCAGATAGCTTATGTGATAAGGGATCATTAAGGCTATTTTCCACGCGAACGAAGTCGCGGGCACAGCTAGTTTATACTTCTATACTAATATTATAAAGATTTGATTTTTTGTTTGCAACGAATAGGCTCATAAGTAGGTACTGGATCGATTTTAAAACTTGAAAGAAATTACATCATATACGGTAGACATAGACTATATTTTATACCGAAAACAGCAAATAAACTTGTTAGTTTCAAAGTTAGCTTGAATTTACGACTTAAAAAAACTAATTTAAAGTTCTTACACCATACCAAAATTGTTAAAAATTTAAATTATACGGGAATGTCTATTTTTGGCTTGTTGCCTTGGGGTAAGTAAAAATAATCATCGTGGTACCTTTTCAGATAGACGTTTTAAGTCCCGATATTTGCATCTGATATAGACAGTTTGTGATAATAAAGGGTAGTTAGGGACACAGCCAACACGTTTTGATAGGCCCTGTTGCTTACTTCGTGTTGCGGTGCTGTCACAGCACGGGTTCTAGATTTCCCCTAGCCCTTACCTTAATTGCCTGGAATCTTAAACAAAATTACCTTCTCCGTTGGCGTACCTTCCTTTATTGACATTATTTTCATTTCTGTTCTTTTTTTATGTCACAATTCTTATGTTAAGCATTTTATGTCTTTACACGTTTCGCTAGTGAATATTGCAGAATTAATTAAATCCCAATTGAGAAAGTCGGAATAATCCGTCACGTTTACTTTATAAGCCTTATGATTTTTTCTCGCTGCCTCAATGTATGACGGCCATTGTGTAGGGTTCCACACAGTAATCTTTTTAACTTTATGTTTAATAGTTGCGTGAACCGAATCCACGGGTATATAGAAAAACCTCTATATGGGTTGACTTTATTAAAAAGTAGTTAAGAATTGTTAGTATAGTCTGGTTTTTATTTGAACCGAACAAGATTTATCTTCTAAGACATGTAGCAATTTCATTAGCTCTACGTTTGGCATCACAGCCCCACATATAGTAAAACACATCTTGTGGACGCTATAAAGTACGAGTATAATTGAATATCGCTATCGCCATAAGGGGTATTTAGTACTTTTTCTTTTTCTAAGCAAACTTTAATGCAGTTCGAATCTTTTATATGTAGCCGGTTTTTCTGGTCATTTACATCTTGAAGACTTTCTTTTTAACTTTCATTAAGATCTTCCTTAATTTCTGCTTTAACACATAAAGTGTATTTGTCCTTTTTAGGAACGTGGAATGATATTCATTTTGAAATATACTTCTAAAGAAAAAACAAAAGAAAGAAGTATAAAATATATATATTATATATTATAATTATTATCCAAAGGAGCAGTTATTCTGTAGTACTTAATAAAATTACAAGCTACTGGGCTAGATTTTTTTTTTTAGTTTTTTGTGAAATATATTTTTGTGAATATATTTTTCTCACTTCTTTCTTTTGATTTCACCCAGTCGGGTTTTTTGTTTTTTATAAGATTTTTTTTTATATTTTCACCTTTTAGTTAATTCTCATTGACTTCTTATTAAAACTATAAGACAGTAAATTTCACAACCTTGTTATTTCATTGAGGGAGTTTATATCGTTAGGATTTTTAAGCAACTTGCGGTAGTCTAAACTACTGATTATTAGTCCCTCTAGAGACCTCACTCACCACAAAGATATATATGCTTGACCAATATGAAGCAAAAATTTAGTGAACTTAAACCACAACTTGGTCCAAAGTAGTTCTTGGCACTTAAAAGCTTAATAATTTGCGAACGGCTCACTATACCTCAAAACGGTCTTCGCTCACTTCTAATATTTTTGAAAGACCTATCCAACTATATCCTACACTACAGGGAAATCTAAAAAATAAAAAATCATCTCCACTTGACATGTAGGGGAGGTAACTTAAAAAATGTATGATTACTGTTATGTATTTAGTGACACTCGCAAGGTTAAGACAAATAGATTGACGTATAAATCATCAAAATTGGCCAAGCACATTACCCTCTTTTGCGTTGCGCATTCGGGTAATAAGACTCACAAATTAACATTTGAGATTTGACATTCCTTTAAATACAGTCTGCAAATCTATATTAGATATATATTTCAATTCTCATAAAAATAAATATAGCCTATTTGTTTTTATTCTATTGTAGTGTGATGGTACAACGGGCAATTGTCCAATAAACTTTTTAACTTCGGTGTTTGCAGATTCTGAAAATTTGTATATGTTGCGCTGACGCTGATCTTTTTGAATAATTTAGTCTTTTGAGTTATTTAGAGAATAAATAAAAACTAAAAATTTTGAAATTTTAATATATCCAATGATATGCGTAGAAAAATCATACTTCTTGGTGATCTTTCGTTTCGTTTACATTATTCGTGACGTTTCTTCTTTTATTATTTTGCATCTACTTTTCGGCTACTATATTTTCTTTATTACTTTCGTACACCTTCTGCTTTTTTTGAGTTGTTTTAAAATGTTTTTTTTTGTTGATATTATTATTTTTCTATGCTATAGTCATGGATCAATAATATATTGTTTGTCCATGCTATAGTTATTTTCTTTTCCTGTTTTTAATTATTTTTTTTTGTTTCCAACCAATTAATATTCTTCTTTACTAGATTCACTTTAATTTTCTCGAGTCCAGACATCTGAATTGTCACCGTCGTCCTCGTCAAAAAAACAAAAAAAATTTTTGAGCGCTCGCAAACGACGTTTTCCTACTTTTTTAGATTCATTAGTTAGATTGGATGGAGCAAACTTTGGACTACGAGGGTTAGAATTATTCAAAGAATACTCAGCAGTAGGAGGTAAGTTTGTACTTGAAGCTATGGCGTTGTTAACTAAACGAGTCTGAGTATTCATATTATTGTCAGCTATCGGAGGCGACAACTCTTGGCCTGTAACACTGGAATTTGGCATCGAAGTTGACGCGAAATGTAGATCATTATCGACAAGATTTACTGCGCTTGGTTCTGCAGCGCTGGAAGACGATGGCAGTAACGTCGTATTAAAACTAAACAAATACATTCGGTTTTTACATTGACAATTAATCTGGAAGACGACGTGATGATGAAAAATTTTTGGGGCGTATAAAATTTTTTGACGAATTTCCATAAGTCGTATATACAGATCCATAGAGAAAAATCTAAGGAATGTGGTATATATACCTGAATTTCGGTAAAATGGTTATACGATAAATGGAACCAAAGGTATAGATATGAATCAATATTCAAATAAGTAATTCCCTAGGGACAACGCGAAGCACCTGGCGGAAACCTACTAAATTTATATAAATAGTTATCAATCTTAGAACTCTTTGTATAGGCACATACAAACCTACTTTATTATTTAGATTTAAATAAATACTTACTTTATTATTTAGTAATATATGTAGGTACTGATTGAACGTCTCATGCCAAAAAGTAAAACGTCGTATAGTCGCACGTTGTGCGTACAAGAGTGGCGCACGTTGTGTTTCAAAACTCTGGAAAGTAGAAGACGATAAAATAAACTAAATAAAATGAGAGATTAGTAAATTATTAAATATTAGTAAATTATTGAAGTCACTGTATAAGCGGCTGGCGATCCCTCCTTTTCTGAAAAGAGAAATAAATATTAAACCAACTTTAAAACAGCTTAAGAAAGTTGTATAATTTCTTTTTTTAACTACTAATAACAGTACTCGTACTTATGTAATCTTTATAATAGCCCCTCATTAGAGAGACTCTGAATTTAAATAGTCACTTAATTAATAATAACCTACGGAAAACCTCCGCCCGACTTCAATAGCAGTTTCTTGAATAAATCGTTTTTAAGACAAGCATTATTTATCTCTTTTTAATAGTTTGAAAAAGTGTTTTTACTATGTATCTAGTTTCTTCCGTGGGGCGTCACCATAAGTGGTAGTTATTATGTACCTATTTTATCCTACCTAATTTTATATGCGTTAATTGCGTTATAAAATATCGAGTTCCAGAACTTTCCTCTGTATGTCAACAGCGGTATATCAAGTGAAAGTAGATAAAATAAACTATAATAACCGAATTAAATGTACGTATACATTTTTTTTTAAGTTGAAGCTACCGTAGTAGATTGTGTTCTTGGAATTTATTTTGGTAGACATTGCAACTCAGCAGGTACACGGTACAATCAATTTAAATGATCTTAATCACTTCTGCCTGAAGTTCATATAAATAAAGTTATGCGGAAGATCCCCTAGTTTTCTTTTGCAAAAATGCCCCGTGAATCGCGCGGCTCATGAGAACGGGAGCACAATTTCCATTGTAACGTAACGCTGTCTGACAGCTCCGGTTTTCTTACCTTTTGTGTGCGATCGGACATAGCAGAAACAGAAACCCAATCAGTAGCGTTACCATGAGTTTACAATGACCGTACTCGCTAGCGACTGCGTAAATGATTTCTATGGAGAACTGTACAGCGCTCCTAGCGGTCACTTGTGAAACTAAAGATTGCTAGTATGAGTCCTATAGTAAAGTTACCTATCGAAAGGCAATCGCTAGCGACTAACGTTTTTTACGTTTCGTAGCTTATGCCATAGAACATCGGTACCATGAGTTACAAATTTGACAAACGTCATCGAGAAATACCGTAGCGACTGTAGTTAACTCTCTCACTTGCAAAACGTAGTGTGAAAACTTATTACTCTTGTTAGAATATTGTTTAATAGATTATTTTCAGTTAATATTGACCCAAATAATGTCAGCTAGGCATTATCTTGCGTGGAATATGTTATCAAAAGCTGCATATGAAGACGAACGACGAGAACAGGGAAAATTTCAAGCGGATATGAGAAATATATTGAAAGATCCACTACTGCGTATTAGTGAGAATAATTTTATCAAAGAATATAGGCTTAATAAGGAGTGTTTTGAGGATTTGTGTGATTTGTTAATTTATTATACGGATTTGAAATCAACACAAAGAGTGACTCTGAAATCAAAGGTAAGTGCTTGTTATTATCTCTTTTAATTTCTTGTTTAAAATTTAATTTAATAAGAATGTAAAATAAAATTGCAGGTTTTATGTGCACTATTATTTTATGCACATGGAAGTGACCAACGCATTACTGGTAAAGCAAATCATTTCTCACAAGAATCAATGAGTGTTTTCATTGAAGAAGTAACAACTGCATTGAACCACCCTAATATTTTAAAAAGGTTCATTAAATTCCCAAGTACACAAGAAGAAAGAAATGCTATTAAACAAAGGTCTGTAAGGTATCATATACGTTTTTGAACTGTCTTAAAAAACAATGCAAATGATTTACAATATTTATTATTACTCGTGTTTCAGTTTCAATAGTAAATATGGATTCCCGGGGGTGGTAGGATGTATTGACTGCAGCCATGTTAAAATATTTACACCTAATAAAGACGAGGAGCACTTATATTTCTGTAGAAAGCACTATCACTCAATAAATGTACAAATGGTATGTATGTAATCTTAATATTACATGTACATACAAAATACTAGAAAATAAAGTAAATACTTTAATAATTTAAAATTTTTTTTTTAGATATGTGACCACAACTGTAAAATTCTGTCATTAAATGCTAAGTTTGGAGGTGCAGCTCATGATTCTTTTATATGGGAGAATAGTAACATCAACAGTTATATGCAACTACTACACAGAGACAATGAAATTGTCTGGCTTTTGGGTGAGACAATAATTAATTGTTATGTAGTTACTTCGTTTAATATTTTGTTATTTCAAATTTTTTTAACAGGTGATTCCGGCTATCCTCAACGGCCTTGGCTGATGACTCCCTACGTAAGCCCAACTCGGAACTATATTGAGGAAACCTTTAATGCAGTCCACACTTCTGCAAGAGTAGTCATTGAAAATACATTTGGGAGGTTAAAGAACCGTTGGCGATGTTTACAAAAGACGTTACATTATGCACCAGAAAAGTGTTCCAAGATTATAATAGCATGTTCTGTTTTACATAACATTGCCTTGAAATATAACGTCCCTGATCCCGAAGAAGAGATATCAGCAGTATATGAGCGGCAAGAGGTGATAACCGAAAATGAAGGTGCCAGTGATTTATTAATGGGGAGAGCACTTCGTGATCAATTAGCTAGAAGACTTGCATTAAGAAATTCATAGTATATTTAAAGATTGTGTTAATTGTACTCGCATTATACAAATACAATTACACAATTATTATACAAATAAAATACAATTGAAGATTTTAATTTTTTATTTTTTTTCAATAACATCTACAATTCTATTCCCCCATTCTAAAAATTTACTAAATAAATCTAACCAACGCTGTTGATTACTTAATTCTAATTCTCTTAATCTGATTTTTTCCTGCTCCACTTCTTGCTGAAATGATCTCCATTCACAGTCAGATCTGACAAAGGCTTGCCTGGCCAAATCTGACTGTGTCTGGGTGCGAGTCCTTCTGTGGAGAGGAGACTGCGCTTGAATCAGACGTCTTCGCCGCCGACGCGGCGTAGGCGGTAGAGCTGTGGGACTCTGTTGCGTGCGAGGCCTGGCATTAGCAGTCCCTGTAACCACCGATTCGACACTGGTGCGGCTCGTCACGTGGGTTTCGTTGGTGTCCACGGTAACTCCTAGAAAACAAAAATATGTGAAAAATTGCTTAGTGACAATGACTACAAAAAGAATTAGACTCCGTGTCTGGGAGCTAATGGAAATTGATTAGAAGTAAATATATACTTACCAGGGTTATTAACAGAAACAAAGTCCTCTCTGCCCGCCTCTTCACTAGGCACAAGCAATGGTGAAAAACGATATGGTTGAGTGGATGTCCCTGGTTGATTCCAGTCTCCTGCAACAAAAGACATTTGTATTATTAAATATTTCCTCTCAAAATAAACAGTTTTTACTATAACACTGTAATATCCCATTGGTTCTTAGTATATTTTATTTCCATGTCTGTGAAAATCATTGCAATTTGAACCTTATACTGTAGAATGTAAAGTGGTAATTCATATTACATCTTGCATTTTTTTGCTATTAATGCATTTCATTTTGTACAGGTCATAAGTGGTTGTTGAGTTTAACGAAAGGATTCCAATGCTATCCATCACAGATAAGAACTTAAGTGGAAACCTTTTTAAACAAGGTTTTATACTTACTGGAGCTAGTCTGTTGTTGAATAACTTCATGTATTTCAAATATTGAAGGGCTCTCATTCATTTCTGGCTCTACATCATCCTGTAATTTTTAATAATTTCTTAATTCTCTAAGTTATGAAATTACAGTATAGCATAATTTCGTAGTTGAAAGCTTTCTTAGGTAGAGTTCATAAATATAAATTTAGGTAATTAAATCTTTAAAAAAAATTTTTTCAGACATATAGAGACAATTATTTTAAGAGCCTTACACCTATATAATTATGTTCTCTACTGCACATATACATGTATTAGTATGAAGATTGTGAAATGAATGATTAAGCAAGAAGTACCCATCACCCTACCTCTATGCCAAGCTCTGGAATTTCAACTATTCCTGTAGCTGCTCTAGTGCCTATTATACTGAGTACCCTTTGCTCTAGGTCACTCAGTTTTAAGGTGGAAGCTGGACCACCACCTGTTCCATGCATGGCTCTGTGAATACGCGCGGATTTTCTTTTTGTGTTATTTTTTAAATCGCTCCAAGTCTTTACACCACACAGCAACCACAAATGAATGAAAAAGTGTGAACCAAATTCATACATGAAAAGAAAAAAAATATGACATTGTACTGATATTAAAACGAAAAATTAATTAGGTGTAAATATTAATTATGTAAGAAATACACACCTTCCTCCACTTTTCTACAGTTTTTGTATCACCTGTAGAATCTGCATTCAAAATGGCTATCAAGTCTGCCCAGCGTTGAGCATTGGTCACTCTTCCGTGTGCTCCTTCAGTGGGTTTACTAAGGTCACCATTTCTGTTAAAACATTAAAAAGGGAGACGTGATACGGAAAACAACAAAAATAAATAAATGAATGTTACGGGGTTAGATCTGATAGCATTGGATTAGGTTGTATATTCTTACTATATTTCAAAAATTTCATAAACTGCGTCTGTTTTAAAAGTTAAACTTTAACCAAATAAAGATCACTCAGCATTCCTTAACTTTATCTGAACACTTAAACAAATATTTCATCTAAAAAATCTGGAGGACTACATTTTACTGTACAAAGTATATTCTAGGTATTAATTAATATAATATAAATGTATTGAAGTACATACCTTTCCATATACTCAACCAATAACTGTATTTGTGAAACACTAGTCCGCATTTTAATGTTTAGGTTTATGCACAACTTATCAAAACAATCAAAACAACCGCCAGTCAAGAAACAGAACACTCAATGACCTGTCACAACAAGGAAATAACCGAACAAATCCAATAATCAGTTACGCTTCGCGTTATGAGACCGATCAATGACGCTTAAAATTAGTAGGGTTTTATCTACTTTTTAAATTTGAAGAATTAAATAGCCAGTTTTTGCTCAAAATCATCCTTTCTCACTCTATTCAGCATAATTAGAACGAGACAGTTTCATTTGGAATGAAGTTAGGCGCAATACACGGTCACGTAACAAAAACTATTCGAATGTTCGAGTTAACGTTAGCGAGTATAGTAAATGTAAATATGACTCATGGTACAACTTCTATCGAATACTATTCGAAGTGCGTTTATTCGCTAGCGACTGCGGTAACGTAATGAGAATTTACGATAGCAACTCATGGTAGCGCTACAGGCTACTGTCTAAACGTCGGAGCGTCGACTGGCGCGGCCGCCGCGTAACGTGTCGTTTCTTTTGCCTTTGTTATTTACAATTGGCAAATCCAAAATGAATCGCGAACAAGAAACGGAATCGGATTTAATGGAACCATGATACTATAAAAAAGATTTTAACAAAAAAAAATGTCCGTTATTACATAGTCTGTTATACTACTATAGAGGTTAAGTTAAGATTTTTTCGATGCATATTTTATGGTGCTTATACGAGTAAATGTATATGTATATATTTTATTTCCATTTGGGATCCAATCTACTATCATATGAGGCCTCATTGTATTGGAAACATTTGTTTATGCACTCAACCTTCGTTGAATTCTTGTAAAATGTCTTTAAACAATAGATCAAATGGTAGAATAACTAACGCCTCGATCTCGCGTATTATTTACCGATGATGTATCGCTCTTATCATCATGTAGGGACGATTCAAATATCACTCGTTTTATTTTCCGTAATATTGGTGTCTGAATGAAAAAACATAATTCCTTCTTCCATATCAAAAACAGAAAAAAAACATTGTTTTTCAGAGATAATTATTCAGAGATAAAGTATAAAAAATTACATATAAAAAAAATTAAAAAGTAAATTTCCGAGCTTTGCATACACCATACGAGAAGTAAAATAAACTATAGACATAAATGCAGCATCAGCCTACTACGGATATACATATGGACGGCTCTGCTACGGTGTTATCTTATGGGGAAACAGTACAGACATTCTATCTTTATTGACATTGCAGAAAAAACTGAAAAATCAAATTCTTCCATTACCTTGTATATATATTTTAGAAGTATATAAGTTCGTACGATAATAACCCGAATTTTATAAAAACGTGAATAAATAACTTCATATAAGTAGGTACGTACGAGTAATGGGAATATACTAACCCGCTTAAAATTACACTCTTCTGGTCTACTAGCAATGTCAATAAAAATATACAATAATTTGCCAAACTAAAAAAATAATAATTAAGAAGAGATTACATAAAATGTAGAAAATGAACTTTTCTATATTGTTTCGGGTCTGGGTGTTGTGGAACCTTCGTTGACTCCGATACTCCATGGGCTTTAGCTACACATCTTGGAATCTGAGCAATGTATGTGATGTTGTTTAATATTTGTTTATTTATATTTAATTATAGTAAGAACTTTATAAAATCTGAAATAAAAGTTGAATAGCACGTTGGTTTGCGCACTCGGTCTGCGAAACGATTGTTAATAAGTGATAGGTACTTACAAGGGTCGATTATAGGATGGGTGGGTGATTAAAAATGTATTATTTCGAGCTTCGGAAGGCACGTTAAATGTCCCGGCGTGCGTGGTGGGTCATGGCCCATTCTCCTCTTCCGATTTGATTCAATTCCATTCATAGGGCAGGCCTGAGCCCCAGCAGTGGGTACATCAACGTGCTGGTGGTGGTGGTGGCGTTTTGCGTAGATTTCAGTTTTCGATTAAGTACACAAAGTAAGTTTTGTGTTTTTTATTGTAATTTATTTCAATCTGTATTTCGAATTGGATAAATAGCTTTAAAGTTTTCAGAGATAAAGTACTGAAGCATATTGTACATTAGTCGGTGTACATATGTAATTAATTTTTTATTATTTTCCGGTTCTGTCTTAATTTATATGATGCTATTATGTATTCTCAAATTCCTTAACATAATTTTGTACAATGTCGTGTATACCTGTTATTGGCTATCATGTAAGCTCTGTAAAAATATTTCCCTATTAAAAAAAATACATCTTTCAGCAACAGTTATAGATTTTATTACATTTTAAATAAATAAAAAAATAAAGATTTTTATCTTCAAGTTATTAATTATTATTATTAAGTTATCAAGGTAATTTAATTCTATTATCGCGGATATTATTAACCGATTTTAAAATCGAAAAGCTATATGTTCGACGGCGATGTATGTTTTTTATGTATGTTCAGCATCTTTTACGCTATTTTTTGTACAATTTCATTTTTTTGTTATTCGACAGCTTAATGGACTAAGGTGGTCCCATTTAAATGTTATCAAAATCGAATCATTACATTAGAACAATATTTAGTAGAATTTGTATAGACAAACTGGTGACAGGACTGGTGTTGGGTGTTAAAAATCATGAATTTTGTGTGACTTAATTTATGGACGACCCCTAAGTATGTATATTTTTTTTCATCGATTCATCGATTTCTTCTTAAATTGTGAACCAATTTTTATCAAACTATCCATTTCGTCTACTATAGCCTATAACCCCCACGCACTATGTGACTCTCCGTATATGAAAAACTTTTATAATCGGTCCAATAGTTTCGGAACCTATCAAGCAAACAAACAAGCAATTCAATCTTTTCCCTTTATGAGTATAAATTATTTATAAAACTGATGAGCAAATAAACAAAATCTCCTTTTATTATGTTAAATTAATTTTATAAAAATATTTAATATTTTTAATGTTACCTACTAATCCTATTAATATTATAAATGTGAAAGTTTCTTTGTTTGGATGTTTAGATGTTTGGATGTTTGGATGTTTGTACGTCAATCACGCCGAAACTAATGAACGGATTTTGATGAAATTAGGTATACAGATAGAGTATTACCTGACTTAGATAATAGGATACTTTTTATCCCACCAAAAGGTTCCCTAGGGATAAAAGTACCTCCAACGGCGCCTATTTTTGTGAACGCTGCCTAAACGGTATGAGATATACTAATGCTTTCTAAAGAAAAGTTGGAGAGCCTTAAATTATCTATAAAAAAGTCCGCGATGTCATATATCTATATGCAAGGGTTTTGCCACAAAAATAAAAAGAACTTTATATAAGTCTATTTAAATTTTTCGTCCGTCTTTAAACGTTTATTTGAGTAGGTGATATTAAATCCTTATCGAAATAAATATTTTTATCGTCGAAGAAATTTAATATACATGAAAATTGTCTTTTACACCATGTAGATTGGATAAGTAGTTTAGATTTTAATACGACGTTTTTGAAAAAATAAAACAACGTATATTGCCGATTTTCTAAACACTATTTTATGTACATGTACCTATTAAGATAAAACAGCATTTTTAATGTAATCGGTAATATTAAGCCCAACAGATGGCATTGCCTGTATTCTACATTGCGATGTTGAATTACCGCAACTACTTGGATATAGATGACTGTGACTCTGCGGTGCGATTCAATAATCTCTTCGTTGTAAGTGATTTCTGCGTTGTCAATTGGTTCTATTTGTCGATTTGGCTATTCTAACGGACTTGACTTGACATTTTGTGTGATTTTATCTCAAATAACTTCTATATTTTCTATCTATTTAGCAATTCTCTAACTTTACATATTTATATTAAGACCTGTATCTAGCTTTCTAAATCAACTTCTCAATTAACTCTTTGTTTATTACTTGGGTCTACCTCTGAATCTTGCAAGTCAAGAAAACCCAATGTGCAATATTAGCAAAAGCAGCGACCGCGGTGCCCTTTTGCAACAATGTAAATTAATCGTGTAGGACGAACGCACAATGTCGCACAAGCGCGTGGTTGAGGCTTTGAACCGGAGCCTGCAGGACATTCGCAGCAATGAGACGCTGATGGGAGGTGCTGTTGTTGTACTCACTGGAGATTTTCGGCAAACTCTTCCAGTTATCGAAAAGGATTCACCGGCAGATGAAATGAACGCGTGTCTCAAGGCTTCGTCACTTTGGTCCAACGTAGAAAAACTCCACCTTACTCGGAATATGCGTGTCAACCTTACAATGATACAGAGTCAGGTGCGTTTGCGAGTAAGCTGCTCGAGATCGGAGATGGTAGGCTGAAAACCGATCCGGACGGCAAAATCATATTCACCAATGAATTTTGTGCTACCGAGGAAGAACTACTCGCCGATGTATTTCCCGATTTAAAAAACAAATTAAATAATGAGGAGTGGTTGTGTGAGAAAGCAGTACTGTCGCTAAAAATGAATTAGTGAATAAAATAAACAACAAGGTATTAGATGTAGTAGATGGCGCATCGAGGGTGTACACGTCCATAGACACGGTGATAGCAAGCGATGACAGCACTGCGTATCCCGTGGAATTTCTCAACTCATTAGAATTGACCTGCGTACCGCCCCACAAGCTGGAGCTGAAGGTTGGCGTCCCAGTTGATGCGTAATCTTGACGCTCCGCGATTGTGCAACGGCACAAGATTACTAATCAGTGAATTGGGAAGAAACATTCTGCGAGCAACAATACTTACGGGAGCAGCTAAAGGCGAGAGTGTGTTGATTCCCCGCATACCCATTATACCCCACAATTTACCATTCCAGTTCAAAAGGCTGCAGTTCCCATTGAAATTGGCATTTGCTATGACCATCAATAAGTCCGAGGGACAAACCCTAAAAGTGGCCGGTATACATTTGGGAATTCCCTGCTTTACCCATGGCCAGCTCTATGTGGCATGTTCTCGAGTGTCAAGTGCAAGGAACCTGTATGTACTTGCTGCAAATAATAGATCATACAACATCGTATATAGATCAATATTATAAGATAGTCATAATCGATGTTGTATGATTTATTATTATCAAAATCTGTTCAGTGGTTGCAGCGTGATTGACTAGCAAACATGAAATTGTTAATAAAAACAATAGAAGTTAGTTAGGTCAGATTTACTTTACTCTGGATATACCTACAGAATTATTTAAATTATTTTTTATCTCACTAAACATTTCCTTAGGAACCACGCGGGCGAAGCCGCTGGCAAAAGCTAGTAATATATATTTTTAAAATATAACTCACTTCAAACTTTAAAAAAGTGGTAAATACTAATCTTAAGAGCTTCTTTCTTCAAGAGGGAATCAAAGTTTGTATGGCAGTTCGCCTTTGTCTAAGAATCAGATGTTACACAATATTAATTAATAAATTTTTGTTTTAGGGTTTTTGAAAATGCTGCTCAATGTAACTATACCACGCGGACAAAGTCGCGAGCAAAAGCTAATAAATAAATAATACAAATTGTTCATACGTGTATTTATTAGTCTTTGTATTTAATGAATGAATATTATTTGTAGATATTATGTTTCGTAAATAAGAAATCATAATTCTAAATTATAAAAAGTTGGTTTGAGAGTCCAAAAAATTTGTTTTAGATTTCATTATGTATAATTTACAAAATCAGATTAAAATTCATATCCGTCTAAAACTTACCTGCCAACTGTCACGACTACTCCGAACTCTAATGGTGATTGTGTGTATCCGTTGTTTATTTTAATACGGCCGTATGTTGATATGTTTATTATTCGTCTGTCATTTAGTGATGGCAACTAAACAGGTCTATCGTGATATGATGTCGGCATTTTGTTAAAGTGACGAGTCTGTTTGGTTTGGAGCGCGACGAATGTTTGTAATCAAAATATTATGGATTCGCTTCAATTAAGTCGGTGTTTCTTTAGAATTGAAATTAGTGCACTATTATTAAATTCAGAAAATATTAGTTTTTTTTTTTGTAAATTTACTATTACTTTTTGTACAATTGTATTTGAAAGTATAGGTACCATCATCCTCCTGGCCTTTATCTCACGTTACGTGGGGTCGGCACAACATGTTTTCTTCTTCCATTCTTCTCTGTCAGACGTCAGCTCCACATGCACACCTTTCTTATTCATATCCTCTTTCACACAGTCGATCCATCTTTTCTTCGGTCTGCCTCTACTCACATATCCATCCACATGCATACCCATCACTCTTTTCGTAGCATGACTTTCGTCCCTTCTAGTATAGGTACCAATGTAATTAATTAGTAGCGAATTTCGAAAGCAGTCTGTATTTAACGTCATAAACAACGACTAGATATTTATTTGCAAAATCAACAAAAATAGAGAATCTGTTTGTATTATGAATTATTATTCATAATACATACACACACATTCATATTAATATAGATTTAATATATATGTCGGCGTGTAGTCAGAAGGGCCTATTACGAAGCCCAAATAGATGGTCCATATCGTAGGACTATCTTTAAAATAACACTGCAGGCGTGTATACCAACGTGGATTTGTCCCATTTTATCACTTTTCATACGAAAATATAACGAGATGAGCGTGATGTCGTAGGATGTCTTTACTTCTCGGCGATCGGAAACAGAGTGTGTGCCAAAATGGCGTCAATTTGCTTTTTGTTAACGAACTGTCAAAGTCAGTGTCACCATTCTAATAAAATTAAAAGTATCGATGATCACGCTCGCTTTACAATCGAGTAATCGAGTAACTGGCAATTAAAATAAAAGAAACTAAATCAAGCGATCTTCGTAAAGATGCGACATATATATATATTTATTTAATCCGTTATAGTATAAGTAAAATTATAAAATTTTATACTTCTCTGTCCATGCAATTTTCGTAAGGGGTGAAATGTTTTCGTTTCAGTCTTTATATGGTCGATGAAATATCGGAGCGAACACAATAATCTGGAGTTCTTCTTGAAGGATCCCGGGTTCTTCCTCAGTGAAAGTGCTCCGTAGAGGGTTTTATAATAATAATAATAATAACATTTTATTTCAGACTTTTTTTTACAGACGTCCATAAGTTGTTAGTTGTAAGTTAGTAACAATAAGATTTTATTCTATGTTAGTACTGTTAGTAAATTAACATTTTAGACCTAAGGCCAGCTCCACCCAATGTCTTTGTATTGGGCAGTCTGGTCGTTCAACAATCGCTGTCAGGATGCCGTTCCGACTGTTACGCAAGCGTTGAAGTAACGAAGCCGCTTTCTTGCGCATAATGGCATGAAAGCCATCTGTATAAGCCTCTGCAAACATTTTCGAAGCACAACAACGCTGCGGCAACCGCAACAACATCCTGAAAGTGTTTTTGTACTGTACTCTCAGGACAGTAGGCTCGGCGCGTATATGACACCCACAAGCCTACATTCCCTCTCTCGCCTGACTCGTTTATTGGAATTTGCATGTGTCCATCTATGATCTCACTCCCTCTAGCATTATGCTCGCTTGATAATATTGCTCATGTCGGCTACTCGGCGGCACACGGCGACTGTTGCGTGTGGGAAAGAGTTGCAGGACTCATATCGATACTGTGTTCGTTACAGAGTGAATCATCTGTAACTACAGACAATGTGGGTAATGCCATCGGCCCACTGTTAAACAATTTAAATACACCTCTTTTTTGCATGTTTACATTTCTTTCTTGATTTATACTCGATATAGTATCACTAATTCGATCGTTCAAATCAATTTTAGTAGCATATTGATGTTTAAAATCTCGTGTACATTGTTCTAGCAATACTATTCTTTTAAGCAGGGCTGTGATATCGACGTGATCGAATGTAACGGGTGGTAATTTTTCTAATTTTTTGGCCACAAACATTGGAATCTTTTCAGGGTCAGTTTCCTTGAATAAACATATAATATCTTTTAAATCTCTAAAGGTTTTTCCTTGTCCCTTTCGTGTCGTCGACCGCTTACTCAAAGATTCAAACAGTAACGACTTCGCTAAATCAATATCCGCTGTACTAAAAGCACTTTCACATATTTGGATAAGACCTTGTTCATCCATAACGTCTAATTTGTTTTGAACAAAGGCCAACACTTCACATATTACGATGTTACGGTTAGCACACTTCAACTTTTTTGACGTATCATTCATTTTCGTAGCGGAGGTGCGTACCCCTGCTTGCGCTCGCGTCAACGGTCAAAGCCGCACTAAAACACGTAAACTTTTAACCGTAATGAACTTGCGGTTAAAAGTTTTGATTTAAATACATATATTTATTCGTGTTAAATTGATTTTCTTTAACTTCAAATATCCCCAGGCGTAAATGAGGGTTGAAACTGTTAACAATATTTCTATATAAAACGAACGATGAAACCTTTTTCTAAAACGAAAGGAGAGAACTGTTGCCACTTGAAAAAAGAAGGGGTCCCACAAGGGGACTTATCAATTTAAACGTCGAACACTTTTTCTCTTCTCAATATTATTTTGCCAAACAAGTTTTTAAAAGTTGAACATCTGGAATGGGTGTGGGAGAAAACTTAAGGTTGCTTGTGAGCTGTCACTCTGCTTGTTGAAGGTTGTCGCGGTATACTACCCTTGGGAGTATTTACCTCAGGGCTGCTACATCTTGCTACTAATTGGTAAATATACAAAAATAGATATCTAATATAATAGCAGCCAGACTTTAAAACGATAGAATTTCCATGGAGAATATTAGGAAAAAAAGTGTGAAACTAAAATTTGTATTTCATTCTAGTATAGGTACATTACCTATCGTGGTCCTGAATTATTCAGGAAAATAAACAGTTTTAACTATCACTTACTAACAGTACTTAATTGTTTTCAGCCACATCTATTGTACATTAATCTTTCATCGCAGTTCTATTATGCTGGTCACCTGATGTACATAATTTGTGATGGAATCAGACTTAGACCAGGGACGCGACCACCTAACTCTCTAGCCATATTGACCCATAAAATACATAGGTTATCTTGGATTTTCCTGGCCAGATATCAAAGCCCGGGCTACGCAAAACGGTGCGCTGGACCGCGTTTTGTTGCAGTTGCAGAGCTTCGGTCTAGTCGGCTTCTCGTCCAGGTGGACTAAGTGTATAGGAAAGTGTCTCTTTGGTTAAAAAATGATGAAAAGCTTAGACAACTTCTGCTAATGTCAACCGTAGGAGAGGGATATTAAAAGATATTATCTCTCAGTTTTGGCTGAATCTACACTCCTAGTAGATCTGGGCCCGCTGTGGGGTTATGGTCCGTTATCTCTTTATGATAGGGATGGCCTGTGTGTCATCAGTGGGTAAATTAATAGGCTAATGATATTGTTCATTTTATCATCGTTACGTTGACAGCCCTGATTGAATATGACAAGTTAGGAAGCGAACTACAGTATTAGAAAGTTGTCCGTTGGAGGAGACAACTCCGCACCAGGGAGCGTGTGTACCTACACAGTTTTCTAGACATGCCCTAGGGATTAAGCTGTATACAAGAAACAAAATTCTAAGATATAGGTTCGTATTTATAGGGTAGGTAGGTAGGTAGGGTACCTTTAAGTGTTTGGTATACAAGGGCTAAGGTATTCTTCATTTTTCACCCATGAATTTATTTATTTTAGGTACATATAATGTATCTGTTTCAAAAAAAAGTTTCTTGACAAATGACCGGCAATTTCGCATAACGTTCGTAATATCGAAATCTATACATACAAAGTATAAAATAGTGTCCCTTCCCGCTGTCTGTACGCTGAGATCTTAAAACTACACAACGGTTAAACTAACGGCGAAAGAACAGGTCTTTTTGAAAATATAAGATTTTTAATAAGTGTCATAAAAAATATGGGAAGAAAATTATTATCGGTAAAAGAATATAATTGTTATAGTTTTGTTGTCTGCAAGATCATTCACCGATAAAGAACTGGTAATTTTCTCTAGCATGTTCTTCGCGTCAGCTGAAAGGTGTCCTGAACCAGTGGTAGGGAAAAAATTTTGGTTGGTTCAAAAGTGCTTGTAATAAGCAACATTGAATAAAGATTTTTTATTCATTCACAGGCATAAAAGAAATAATTATCATCATAAGCCTATTAATATCTCCACTGGGGCCGAGTCCCAGCAGGCTATGGGGTGTGTCATGTGGATGAATAGAATAGGGAGAATGTGTCATGACGCAGGCCCACTGCGGATTGTTAGGAGTCCTCAATTTAAGAAGGACAGTTTGACAGTATATATTTTTGATCACCCATCCTAGGACCGACTATTGTGAATGTTGCTTAACTTAAGAATCGCAGACGGAACACATTAGCCACTGCATAGCCAAGCTCCGAGAGAACAAATATAAACATTTATATATTGTTCAAAATTCTTAATTGAAATAAAATTAATAAATGTTGTCACACTTATTAATTATGACCCAAATAGACTGAGGTAAAACACTGTATGTATAGTGGGATAGACACGTACACTCATTTTTAAAAATCCTGAAATCTGTATGTATGTTAACGCAATAAGTTATAACGTTTTTAGGGTTCCGTACTTCGAAAATGAGAAATGAAGTGTAGGCGCCCTTTATGGACTTAGGCAGGCTACGCAGGGAGGGAGATTGAAGTCTCCTTAAAAATGTGGTGTGCAATAGATGGCGCGGTCGGCAAAAATAAATGATTAAGCTAGCGGGTTTATGCACGGTACGAGCTGATGACCAGTACAAAATGAATGGAAAGAAAGGGAAGAGGTACTGCACTTACTTGAAATTCAATATTGCGCAATGGCGGCTCTTGAGCGAGGGCGGCGATTCCAACAAGCGTGATAGGCCTGCTGAACTGACCTATCTTCTCCAAACCACAGACGTAATAAAACGCCTCGGTACCTTCAGTGAAAGCGCATTAAGAAAACCGACGGCGTGGCGGTTAAGTTTTATACAGTCAAATTAATACAAACACCAGTCCTTTGTCACCAATACTGGTGATAGATGCAGCGGAACTATGTTCTATCTCGCTCTTTCTCTCATTGGAAGACTGGAAACGCATATACGTACGTAACCTACTATCCATTCATCCCTCTGTAAGTCTTATATTTTTTTCGAGATAAACCGTTTTGTAGTCATTTAAGAAAATTGCCAAAAATTAACCCTCTTTCAACTTCCTGTAGCTATCGGACTTGAATGAAAAATATATGTATATAGAAAATAGTTTCTTTTTACTTATTGAAAAATCTATAAGAAGTGTGTAGAATTTAAAATTTATTATTTCTACGGAACCGTTTGTGTGCGATTCCAATTCGCTCTTGGCCGGTTTTTCTTTATGATATAACGGTGCGGATGAAAAGTAAATATTGTTCCGACCCGACGACATGTAACTTGACTAACTGTACAACACGAACTGACTGTAATCCAATAAGAGAGTTCATGCTACACTAGGGTTGTTGTTAATACAATTATATTGTAAAATTATATTTTTTATAGTTTTGTAATAAAATTACATCTAATCTTAACTTTGAATATTATCAGTGAAATCATTATTCAATTAAAAGTGTGTGTTTCATGATAAAATACTCAACTTCTTGCTGTATTAACGCTATCAAGTCGAATAAAGCAAATAATTCAAACTCTGTTTACAAGAATAGTAATTGTCCCTCTGAGAAGCTTCCCATATTATTACATAAACCTCAATGGCAGCAACCCTCGATAAGAGTGACCACAAAACGAAAAAACTTTAGCTTAGCCTTTATCTATTGTTGTAACGACGCGAGCCCTTAGAGAGTACTGTCGGTCATAGCTTATTGTTTAGTTGGCAAAAATTTTATTAACAAAGTATATAAATAAATAAGAGGGGTATGAGGTGAGGGTTGAAGTGAGTAGTGAAAAGTGGTGTAGGTGGTCAGGTGAAGGGGGCGTGGGTCAGCGACGAAGTTCCGTTTTCGATGTTGAGGAGCTTCCAGAAATAGGTCGACGTTAGTTCAAGGTATCAGCGATGTGCTTTTGCAGCCTTGAGGGACGTCTGGATCCGGAGCGTAACTCGGCGAGATGTAGTTTCTTGATGCATCGAACGAGTATTTCTCAGGCCCAGAACTGAATAGCAGCTCGGGCCTGAAGGTGGAGACTTGTAGACAGCCTTCAGGAGAGGATATTTTAGTTCAAGAATGTAGGTGGTAGAGTAGCGAAGGAGATTTAGTATAGTATAGATTTGATGATGTCTAATTAAAACCAAAATGGTGTCAAGTGACTTTGAGACCGTAACTTTGGAGAGGAAATAGGCTTTTTAAGAATTTAGGTAGCTCCGTATGGGTTCAAAAAGCTAACTTAGACAACTGTTGCCGTTGGAGCGATCAAGAACTACTCAGACAAGGCTTTATATACTTGAGGGCGAGCTCAAATTTGGAAGTCAATGATTTCAATTTAGAACCCTAAAAATTCAAAGGCTACAGAGTTTCAATACCTAAAAATGACAAATAGTGAGTCAATTTTCATGAAGAGTATAAAATATAACCATGACAACGAAGAAAAACTTTGATGACAAATCTGTCAAAAAAATTAAAATTAGCAATAAATTGTGTTAAATATATAAATAAGTGTTTTAATATCATAGTATCATTAATATCATTAAGGGTTTACAATAGTGTAAGTAGGCAAAAACATAGGATGAAAGTTCGTAGAGTTTAGCATAATTTTGTATTACAGGATTTTAATGGTAATAGGTATAAAATTGAAGATCCATTGTCATAAAATGGACAAAGTGAAGAATATAAATAGGATAAAACTAAAAAGATGATCGATATGAATATAGTTAGTGATATGCAACCAAGGAATGATAAACATATGAATGGTTAGTTACGACAAAAGACACCGATTCATTGTGCTTTTTTATTAACACATCTCTTATTAATATTATCTTGTATTTAGGTTCCATTACGGTTATTATAATATCTGGTTTTAAAAGTTTTTAACAAAGGCAAACCTAGTCTCAAGAGAACATAATAAAGTCTATATTATACATATTTTATGAACTTCTATATTGATAGAAGTATCTGGAAAGCAGCCTTATTCAACCAATAGTCTACAGGCTACAGGCGTCTATTTTTAACCGACGACCAAATCCAAAAGGAGGAGGTTATATGTTCGAGTGCCTTGTGTTTTTTAATGTACCCAACTAATATTACAGCTGCAAATAGAGCTTATATAGAACCTAAGGTGTTATAAATGTTGATTAGTAGCTGTAATTATAGGTTGTGGTGACAAAAGAGAGTAAGTAATAAAATGTAACGCTTATAGTGACACAGCAAGTCTATAAGAGCAATGTATGGAGGCTAAAGGCGTACAACAGCGATTATTATCCCTATAGTACAGACCTAAGCTTCTGTGTTATAGCTTTGACCAATTCTTACCACTATAAGATCTATATAAGAAATTATCATTAACTATTCTCCTCAAGTTCTACGCCAGCTATTAT